GTGTTTTGCTGCACTTGTATTACGTTTCAATCGGTATAGGAAAAGAAGTTGAATCCTGCGATTGTCATAGAATTTACAACCATTTTCCGTCTATGAGGTTGTTAAATTGCTCCTCGCATTGTTCATTTTGTTTTATCGATTAATTGTGATTCCAATCGGAACAGGATGGGTGGAAGGCGAAAATGAAATTGCATTCACTTTTTTTTTTATCATTTGATTTTTTTTCCTTTTAATAGGCTGCCTTGGTGGAAGGTTGAGGTTGCACCTTTTTTTTTGTTTTAATCAAATTATTGTACATGTTGTCTACTGCTATTAATTAAGTGAACTTGACCTGGGATTAACGTAATTCCTGAATGAAAGAGAAGGATAACTGAAGTTCTGAATGTATCAGTTTGCCTATACTTTAGATGTTTCTGGGACGTTATGGGAACTCTTGCTATCGGGCTTTTGGAGTTTGGAGTGTCTATCATCACTTTTAGTAGCTGTCAGTGTGGTGTGTTTGGTTACTTGCAGTAGTTTATCGCAAGGGATTAGGCTCGAATATTTATTTCTTTTAGAATTAATTGTTGAGTAAAGCTTCAGTTCGCTCTTTGAATGAGAATGTGATAAGGAACTAATGATGTTACAGATAAAAGTTAGATGCATTGTTATATATGTCGTTTGTCAATTTCATTTGGGCTTATGAGGTCCTTAGTAAATGACTGGTATTGTTATCAATCTACTGTGACCAGCTTGTGAATGTGAACAATCTTCTCTGTTGATCTCGTGCTCATCTCTGTTTATGTGAAATTGTGAAGAGATTTAAACTCCTGTATATTGTTTTCAACTCATTGTTAATCCTCACATGCCCCAATGTTTCCCTTTGGGGGGTGGTGCTGTCTTATAAGAATGTTAAAGACTATTAAAAGAAGTGGACTGGTAGTGCATTGCTTATAGCATTTGTTAGGTGAGAAATTCTTTTGCTGTTAAACAATTTTCTTAGGGAGATACATTTAATCATAGTGATCACTTTCATTTGTAACCCCAATCTCTTAAAAGTGTAGTAATAATACTACACATTTAAAAGTGTAGTAATAACCCTAATCGTCCTCTTTCATTCCTTTGAGGCTTCTTCAAAGTAGCTTATGTAATTAAAGTGACATTTACACGAAATTCAATATGCCAGATTTTCTCCACTACGTAACAGTGTAAACTTAACTACTGGAGAGTGGATCATGTTTCTTTTGAAATAGCGGAAGAATTAGGAAAAACTGCTTAGGAATGGCTTTAGATGGTGGCAGATGTGGTTTAATATATTAAAGCAATTCTGTAATTATCTTACAGAGCTGAGTCTGAGATTGGGAGGGGGAAGAGCTTTGTCGTCAAAATGGACAATCTACAAAACCTTAGAAGGAAGAAATTGCAATAAGTGTTTGCATGCTGCAAAGAAAAACTGCCATTATTTGATAACATATGAATAGTTTTTGAAGCTGCTGCAAATGGAAATAATTGGGCCTCAAATTTGCTAATATATTGCTGATATATATCATGTATAAATGTTAAAATTCCTGGCAACAGGACTGCCAAAACATGTTTGTTATTACTTTTTTGCAATGCTTTTGATAGGGAACTGTTGTTTTTGCGAATTGCAAAAATATGCATATACCTCTGACAACTGTATTCTTTGATGGCTAATATTGCCCATGTTTGGCGTTGATTTTTTTCTTTTTCAGCTGCTTGGTAGGTCTCGTTCTATAGTTATGTCTACTGGACTTGCTGATTGTTCCTGGGCCATTTCCTCAAATATTCTTGATTACTCAAACAAAAAAAAAAAAAAAAGAATCCTATTGAAAATATAAATAGTGTTTTACTATTTTGGTGTATATGATGTTGTACATGTTGACTCTGTGAATGTGAATAAGTTCAGAATATCCTGGACCATTAAGCACAAGTATGTTGTATAAGTTGTTGCAAGCTATATTTTTGTGAAGTTGTGTAGTTTTGCAGCACTTGTACTGGTAATTTTTCCAGTTTTGTAGTTTGTATATCATGACAGAAGGCATTGTGTCCACCAATGTTTGTATATCACTGAAATGACTATTGTCTTGTGCATGTAGGATGCTATTTTGCCTTGTCAGATTCTATTTTCTACAACATTCTAGCAGGATTAATGCATATATGCAGTTTTTTCTGGTGTTTCAAATATTTATTGCTTTTATATTGCATTTAGTTTGGATTAATCTGCTGGCCTTGCTTATGTTCCCTCTTTTTTGTAATTCCTTCTTGAAACACCTGCCTGCTAGGAACTTTTAAAATTTTCTGTTTCTGTTTTTGTTTCATTTTTAATTACTTTCTTTCTTTGGACTTGACTGTAGTTGAGAAGTTCTCTTTTGGACTTGATAAAGAAAAAGCCTTTCACCTCTTCCTCTTGCAGTGGGGAGGGGGGAGTTTGATATATGATGGGGACTCATGTGAGCTTATAAAATTCTTTGTCATCAGTCAATTAACCTTAGGTGTATTTGGCCTTTTTTTGCAGTCATAGCTAATTAGCCTTTTGGCTGCATTCCTGCTGAAATTTTTTAAAGATGAATATTGTTTGGTTTTAAAGAGTCAATTTGTGGTTGATGCTTATTTGACACCTTAGCTTGATCTTAAATCTATGTTTCAGGTAATTGTTGAACTTCTGGCATCATGGGGGAATCATCCTTTACAATTCAGATTAGTACCAATTTAGTTGACCAGCTAGCTGATGATAGTGGAAAGCGGAAAAGGAAAACTAGGAAAGCAAAGCCAAAGCTGCCACAGGATGCTAAAACTCCTCAGCAATCCCCTTCTAAGCAAAAGCTGGTCTCTGATGATTCTAAGATCCTTAAAGTGCCACCTGCAGCTGGATGGCCGCTTCAGCCTCCTCTATACTTGCCGCCTCCTCCTGTGCAACCTGCTAATGCAGAGTTAGAAGCAATTCAGTCTGTCCTGAAAGACAGTGAAAATGTTGTGGAGAAGCTGCAAAAGCAGGAGGCCGACATGCTGCAGGAAGTCACTGAAAGAGCTAAGGATCTCCATGCTAAAGAGTTCAAGCTTCCACAGCAGAAGCCCGTGCCCTGTTTAGAGAAGTATGAGGCCTGCCTGAAGTGTTACAAGGAGAACACTCGGGACTCTCTAAGATGTCAATTTTTGGTCAATGATTATGCTGATTGTGTGCGTAAAATTAGGCGGTTAGTCAGCTCAGAGGATAAATAGTCCATGTGAAAGAAGAGTTAATACACTTGATTACAAACTAATTGCAGTTTTCTCGAATCTGAGATTTTGTGGTGCAAATAAAGCATACCTCTTACTCTTGCCCCATGTTTGGGATGGAATGCCTGCCATTGTGCTGCTCTGGGCTCTCTCGATATATCATTTTGCTCATTAGGCCTTTGATGCACTTTTCTCCCTACTCAGTTCGCGATCTGCCTCAACTGACATTGAGAAGACGATTGTAGCTAATATCTTGTTGTACTAACTAATGCTTGCCATAATGGCTAGCTGCATTTCCTCCCTCTGAACCAACATTTGTTTGATTGAGAGCTCATTCGACTGCTTATTTCTATTTTGAGTTCGTGCATGGCAGTGGCATGTGCTGTTGTATTACGTTTTCTTTTTCCGATGTTTATCAATCCTCCTTTGTATGCCTTTGCCTTTGCCTTTGCCTTTGAAGAGGTTGGAGTAGATGGGGTATGCAATAGCAGGGAATGAAGCAGCACGACTTGGTTGAATCTTGCAATGGTCACAATTTACAGCTTTGCACTAGTACGGAGTAAAATCATGATGTATTCTTATGCTTCATGCTCGGAGGAAAAAGGGAATCTATGAATTCTTCTCCTAGCACTCCAAAGGCAAAGATAAACTTAAAAGGCAAGCGAAAAAGGCAACGACAAGTAATCCTAAGCAAGTAAGAAAAATATATCTGCGTCCTGGGTTGGCTTGGCTGGTGCTGGGAAGCCTCTTTAGGTCCTGGCATCGAGTGGTCGCGGTTCGACTCCTGTTAGCGTCTTGTGTCTCTTGGAGGCGGGGGTACAAGCGCAGTGAGATTAGTCGGGGCCGGATTATTACTCCGTTGAATCCCGGATACCCACTGTGTCAGTAAAAAAAAAAAAGTAGGAAAAATATATCTTTTTATTTAAAACTAAAATAAATTAGAAAATTGAGAAAGGATCATGCTAAAAGAAAAAAAATTAAAAATAATAGAGGTGTATGGCAAGGAAAAAGAATAAAAAAAAGAAACCTCCACCAGCATCTGCAAATCTTTGTAGAGCAAGAAAAAAGAATAAAATTCACCGCGCACGCATGCAGCACGTGATAAGGAAAATAGCCGATCTGTACGGGAATAGAACTCCTCGCGACGCCCTCATTTAATCGGCTTGGCGAGGATAACAAACTCATCGCCGTTGTCTTTCATTTCCTCGGCTAACCATACGTCAATTCCTCTCCGACCACCGTCAACGTTCACCCGGCACCTTCTTCTCAACCCTTTTCAAGTAGGTGCTTAGTTCCTCTCTCTGTATCTTACTTTTGTTTGTTTTCCCCTTCAAAGACTTATCTAAGACTGAGCTCCTGAAAACGTTGTTGAAATGCAAATTAAGCTATACGAAGTTCTTTGACAAATATGCTTTCTTGCAATAAATTATTTGGACATTAAAAAGAGCACAACTGTTCTCTTTAATGGCATTCCTGCTTAAATTGATTATTGTGTTATTTTTCCTATTTATTTACTGCATTTGGCCTGGTTTCTTAGAGTTCAATTGGTAAATTTATGGGCAAAAGTGATCCTGCTGGACTATACTTCTTTTCTTGCCTATACCCTGCCTGCATGTTAAGGTAAATTGTTTGAATGCCATGAGTCCTTTTGTGAGTAGGACAATGTGATTATTAGTCAACCTAGTCCCTCTGTTATATATAGCGTTTTTGGCTTTTTTTTTTTTTGTCAGGATGCATTTTATTGAATCTCAATTGGGATGATGCTCCAGCTTTGAGGATGCTAATTTACTACTTAAATTAAACATAATGGTTCGTGGGAGAGATGCCTGTTGGGAACATTGTGTTCTAGTTGATGCAACTAGGCAAAAGGTTAGGTGTAATTACTGTCAGAGGGAGTTCAGCGGAGGAGTTTACCGGATGAAGTTTCATTTGGCACAGATAAAGAACAAGGATATAGTTCCATGCAGTGAAGTACCAAACCATGTTCGGGACCATATACAAACTATACTCAGCACACCCAAGAAACAGAAGACTACTAAGAAACAGAAGGTGGATCAAGTTGCCAATGGTCAGCAGCATAGCTCTTCAGCTAGTGGTGGTGTCCATCCCAACCATGGATCAAGTGGACACAATGATAGCACTAGCCCTTCTTTGTTATTCCCACGCTCTTCTCCAAGTGGACAACAAACAATTGATAATGCTCAAAACCAAAAGCATGACTATGCTGATATAAAAATTGCTGCCTTTTTCTTTCAGAATTCCATTCCCTTTAGTGCTGCCAAATCAACATATTACCAGGAAATGGTGGATGCTATAGCGGAATGTGGGGTGGGCTACAAAGCACCAAGTTATGATAGGTTAAGGTGTAGCCTCTTGGATAAAGTAAAGGCTGATATAAACGTGACTTACAACAAACTAAAAAATGAGTGGAAAGAAATGGGTTGTACACTCTTGTGCGATTGCTGGTCCGATGGTAGGAGCAAAACGCTTGTAGCTTTTTCTGTTACATGTCCCAGAGGAACATTATTTCTTAGGTCCATTGATATATCTAGCCATGCAGATGATGCTCATTATTTGTTTGATCTTCTTGAATCTGTAGTTCTGGAAGTTGGTGTCGAGAATGTTGTTCAAGTGATAACAGAAAGCACTGTTAGTTATATCTATGCAGGCAGGCTTCTCATGGAAAAATATCCTTCATTGTTCTGGTCTCCATGTGCTTCACATTGTATAAACAAGATGTTGGAAGATTTTAGTAAGCAAGATTGGGTGAACAGAGTCTTGGAAGAAGCAAATACCATCACAAAATACATATACAGTAATGACTCGATTCTTGCTATGATAAAAAAGTTTACTTCTGGAGCGGAACTAATTAGGCCAAAATTTTCAGGAGTTGTAGCTCATTTCCTCTCTTTGAGGTCCCTTGTGATTCAAGAGGATAATTTGAAGCACATGTTCTCTCATACAGAGTGGTTATCATCCTTAGACAGCAGGCAGTCTGAAGCTCAAGCTGTCATTTCACTGTTGCACCTAGAGAGATTCTGGAAGGCTGCCCATGAAGCTGTTGCAGTATCTGAACCACTAGTTAAGATCTTGAGAATTGTAGATGGGGACATGCCTGCCATGGGCTACATATATGCAGCAATGGAGAGGGCTAAAATTAGTATTAAGACATACTATAGAAGTTTGGAGGAAAAATACGTGCCAATGTGGGAAATAATCGACAGAAGATGGTACATGCAACTTCATTCCCCACTTCATGCAGCAGCTGCATTCCTTAATCCTTCTGTATTCTACAGCCCTACCTTTAGGATTGACTCAAGGGTGAGGAATGGTTTTCAAGAAGCCATGATAAAGATGGCTACAGAGGAAAGGGACAAGATTGAAATCACTAAAGAACACCCTATATATGTAAATGCTCAAGGTGCTTTGGGGACTGAATTTGCTTTAAAGGGCCGGACATTGAATGCTCCAGGTATCATTTTCTAAGTGCACTGAATTTATCTAATGATATATTCCAGAAGCTACTCTGCAAGCAGACTTATCTCATGTGCTATTTTATCCTTTGATGATAGGAAGAAAACCTGAATACAATAGGAGAACAGAATTTGCATGCACCACAATCATGAGGTGTCAAGTCCACAAAAAGTTGATCTACCATGGAAAGACCTGAGAAAAAAGAAGTCAAATAAGATATTATTCTAAGATGGAGAACTTGGTGGTTAAAGGGGAAAGGAAAGGAAAATTAGAAAAAAGAGTAAAGCAAAACTAAGTTGAACTTGTCTACATTATGCTGAGACAAAAGAGATGTCCTTTAAAGTTCCCCTATGCTATTGGCTGGAAAGCTCCTTACATATCTCCTTTGTAATTTTTCTATCTTGAGATGTCTTTTGAGCCTATTTGTTCCTTGATGAAATCATCACAAATTGATCCATTTTTGAATCTCTAGGTGATTGGTGGGCTGGATATGGTTATGAAATTCCTACACTGCAGAGAGCTGCTATCCAAATTTTAAGTCAACCGTGTAGCTCCCACTGGTGTAGATGGAACTGGAGTACTTTTGAGAACATGCATAATAACAGACGTTTTAGAGCAGAGCTTGACAAATCCAGTGATTTAGTTTTTGTACACTGCAATCTCTGGTTGCAGGCAATTTCTAGAAGCAGAGACGGCAAGAATAGGCCAATCAATTTTGATGAGGTAGATGTCAGTTCTGAGTGGCCTACAGAATCTGAAGCTTGCTCCCCTCTTTTTGACGATGCATGGTTGGATTATCTTCACCCTGAGAGTAGAGGTAATTCTTTTGCCAATTATGAAAATTTAAATTGAAAAATTTTGTATATTTCCTGTTATTCATACTAGTGATAAAATATGTTTGTAGCTAATATTGCAAATGATGATGAGTAGGTTCAAGATGAGTCTGCCATTGAGTTTTCTAGCTAATGTTTATCCCTAGAAGTGGAGATGTATCAGGTAATGTATTGGTAGCTTATTTTTATACTGATCTTCTGATTAAAATTGAATGTTCTAGTTTTCTGTGATGATATTTTAGGTAAGAGCTGTGACGATATGATAGTGTAAGATAACTTTAGAGCATGTTGAAGAAAGTCACAACTTTATGTATCTCTTCAAGGTTTTATGACAGACAGTTTCTCAAAAGGACAGATTGATATTTAAGAAGTTGTTCTTGAAAATTTACTTTCTTAGACTGCTAAATATTGGTCTTACCTCTAAAAGTTTTGGAGGAAAGTAGGTCCTTGGTACTAAACCACGCTTAGATAAGTGCAAAGCCAAAGCCAACCTGTTGTCGTTGATGTCAAGTTCCATTGAGTAAAAGCATTGACAAAAGAAAAGGTTTGGCTCTTTCTGAAGGAAGTTTTAGTTAACTAATCTCATATTGGCTTCACTAGCTTTGTATTGTACTGAAAAAGTATTTTCTTCACACGGTGATTGTTGGATGTGGAAATGAAGCATGCAGGCCTTTAAAATGATCCAAACTAGGTGAAACTTCCTGTAGCTGTCGAAAAATGGAACTGTAGTAGAGCCCTACTTGCTAAAAAACAGTTGACAAAGTGGTGTGCCTCAAAAACCGCTTTCAATATTTTAAGCAGGCATGGGAATCTAAATTGTGACTGATCTTTCAGTAATTATGGTCAGATTCTAGCCATAGCATAATGATGCAATCTGATATCCTAGGCAGGTAAAGTATTAAAAAGAAAAAATAAATAAAGGTATAGCATTACTCTGGTTTCTTGGTGTTTCATTCGCTGCTAATGCCAGCAACATGTTCTTATTCTTTTACTGTATACAAACACTAGAAAACTATTTTTTGTCATTTGTGCAATTTCTGAATCTGTTTGGCTTGTCTGGTTTCTGCTTATTCATGGTCTCAACAATGTCTAATTCTGTGTTTTTTAAGTCACAAAGTTTACATTTATATTTGAAACAAGGAAAATCGTTCAAAACGTCCCATGCCACACACATGTTATTCGTATTGCTCAGTTGAAATCAAATAAATATATACATGGATTTAAAAAAAAAAATTATTCACACACATGATCAATGAAGGATGAAAAAATTTATTTTGAAAAATGTGTACGATGAAAAAATTCATTTTGTGAAATGTGTGGAATTATAAATCAAAATTATGTAAAATTTGATTTGACAAATTTGTTCTTAAAAAATACGTGCAAGGCACACGATAGATTCCAACTAAAAACTAGTAGGAAACCTAAGTAGGGATCAAATTTGATTAATGTGAATTTGTAAGGAACGTAAAATTACACTTTTAAAAGTGAGGGACAAAAAAAAGTCATTTTACAAAACTATCGTTTATTTCTATTTCTACGTTCCATTAGTTGTGAAATATATACATGAATACATGTAGTTTCTAGTTTTATTGTGAGCTAAGCAACAAAATTTTCCATGGGATCATGTCATGGAATCTCCAATACGGGATCAGCAGGAAAAGCTTTTTCAATCACTTATCCCACCCAGGAGCAAATTATATATCCTATTGGCAAAAAGACCGGCCGATTCCAATATTCAATGATTTGTTATTGAAAGAACAGAGTGGATGAGTGGAATCTAAATCAATAATAATGATCCGTTGAACCATCTAGCTATATGCGGACAACTCAAGATTACGTGAATTTTGTGCTGCTTAACTCTGCAAATATATATAAACATAAAGATATGTTCATTATTGGGACAAAAACATTGTGCACAGTTCCTTCCAGCCCAGAACCCCGCCACGTGGCCAATTGTGGGAGTTGCAGCCTTGTGTTTTTATGTGTATGTGGGAAAATGCTTTTTGTTTTTGGTGTATAAACATAAAGATATTTTTTTTGTCAAAAAAAAAAAAAAATGGATTCATCTATTTGGGCTATATTTTGTGAATGAGTAGTATTTTAGTCTGATTATCCGTTTCCACGTACAGGATTACAACTAACAATAATTTGGAGCGTGATTATTCACATGCCCAGAATATAAAATTTCGAAAGAGACTTATTGCTATTGATGTAAACTTTTTCATATTATAATGCTATTTTAGAAACTTGATTTTTAGAATTATGAAAAAAAAAAATCTGACTTTGCGCCAATGCTTTGTCCTCAAACTCGTCAAATTCTTTTGTTTGGACTATGACGAGTCCCTCACCAAAAACAAACACACACACAAGAAAGATCCCTTCGGCAATACCCTGGCTTTGATCAACAACTTTTGTATTGCCTTTACTCCTTTTTTTTTTTTTGCGGTATGAAAAAAAGTTTGGATGCTTCGACCATTACTATGAGTTAGGATATATCTCCCTATCACAGGTTACTTACTGAATTCTTAGTGGTCACTTGCTACCACAATCTTCACATGTACAAATAAATAATAGCAACAGCTCAAAATGTGAATCTGTTTAAATAAATTAATAGTTATAAAATATATATAATTATTAATACAATAATACTCATTATTGTTATAAGAATATATATACTTATTATACAATAAATTAATAATTATAATATATATACTTATCATAAAATTTGACCCATATTCGATCCGAACTGTTGAATCTGGATCCAGAAGATTAAGTGTAAGATCCGTCGGGTACATGGGTCGAATCCAAAACATCTACACTGAAACTGTCCAGGTTCGGAATGTTCAATTACCGCCGTGCCCGACCCGTTGACAAATATATGTGAGAGCAACGAGCAAGGCAGAAACTGCTTTTCATATTTGAGCAGCAAACGCCTCCCTCCCTTGTCTCATCGCCTGAAGAAAGAGTCCTCAACCTCCAAACCATGATGTTTCAGATTTTTCTCAACGCCTCTGATGGCAGCAGCTCTGTTAATGATCAGAATCTTGTGCTTCTCTCTTACGCCCTTGGCGGGCTTGCCTTATTATGGTTTATCTTGATGTTTATCTGGAAACCAAATAAGGGACAACCACCATTGCCACCAGGTCCTAAAACTTTGCCCCTCGTGGGGAACCTCCTGTCTCTTGATCCTGAGCTTCATACATACTTCACAGACCTGTCTAAGACTTATGGCCCAATCTTGACACTCTGGCTCGGTAAAAAGGTTGGAATTGTGATCAGTTCCCCAGCCTTGGTGCGGGAGGTGCTCAAGGATCAAGATACAACGTTTGCCAATCGTGACGTTCCTGCAGCTGCCAGGGAAGCTGCCTATGGTGGCTCAGACATAGCGTGGACTCCATACGGCCCCGAATGGCGGATGCTGAGGAAGGTTTGTGTGATGGAAATGCTGAGTAACGCCACTTTGGATTCTGTTTATGACCTCAGGCGCAGGGAGCTTCGACAGACGATTAAATTCTTGTATAGACAGGCGGGGAAGCCGGTTAATGTTGGTGAGCAGATGTTTTTGACTGTTCTTAATGTGATAACTAACATGTTATGGGGTGGTACGGTCAAGGGAGACGAGAGGGCTAGCCTTGGAGCAGAATTCAGGCAAGTTGTCAATGAGATGACTGGCTGCTTAGGTGCGATGAATATATCAGATTTTTACCCTGCTTTGGCAAGATATGACCTACAAGGCGTCCAGAAGAAGACCAGAATTTTAGCAGGAAGGTTTGATAAAATCTTTGAGAGGATGATAGATCAAAGGGTGAATGCAGTTGGTGATGATGGTAAAGAGAGCAAGGATTTTCTACAGTTTCTTCTGCAACTGAAAGATGAAGGAGATGCCAAGACACCTCTTACCATGAGTCATGTGAAGGCCCTACTCATGGTATGTTTATCTTTTCCCATTCTTTGGCCTGGATGAGAATATGCCATTATATCCTAGCTAATTTAGTGTGTTAATAGCAACAACACCAACTTAGTTCCGATGAAATTGCTTGCAATTTGCTAACACAAAAAGGGATATTGCTACGTATTTCTCACACTCATCCTTCAATTTTGATATTAATCTGTTGTTGTAGCCTCAGTTAATTGCTTAGACTTTCTTAGGGAAAAAGAAAAAAAAAAAAACTGAATTCTGCAGATGTATGAACAGCGCAGTTACCTAGTTTTGGGCAGGTGTCATTTTCTTAGGCCAACCAAGACGGCCGACTTAATCCTCCAAAAAGGCAGCCAAATTTGACTGGTCACAACTCGTTGATTGAAACCGGCAACAATAATTCATTTGTTGACGCTTTATTTTCTGGGATAATTTCAATAACCTCCCTTGAGGTTTCTAACAATTTCACTCCCCTCCTCTAAAGTTTTAAAAATTTCACTTACCTCCCCATCAGTCATTTAAGACCCAACATTACAAATGGCTAAATGACTCTATTTCCCTTATAATTTAGAATAATTACACATATATGTGAAGGAAAAGAGTTAAATGATTGCTAACTACATTAACCAAAATTTGGATAGTAAAAAAGTTAATTAATTTGTCATCTAAAAATAGAGCCAATATTAGGTGGATCTTTTTTAATTTTTATATACTTGACAAATAAAAGAAATCAGACGTAATGCAATTGATAAATTAAAGGATTTAGACATGAGAAATAATTAAACTGTGTACCAACTAAATTAACCATAATTTGAAATGTAAAAAAGAAAATATAATTTGACATCTAAAAAGGGATCCAATACTAGGCACCCTTTTTCTAATTTGTGTACTTGATAAATAAAAGGAATCAAATATAAAGAAATTTTAGTTGAGCTAGTTTTTCTTATAATTGTGGTGATAGCAAGAATCTTAAGGTGTGGAAAAAATTGTTTTGTTATATTTTGAAGTTTTTATTTTTTGTTGTGGATGATGAAAAATTTTTATTGACCATGTGTAGGAATGGCATTATAAGTAGATTAAGAAGTTAGATCAAATACTTAACCTAACTAAAATAATAGTTGAGGGGCACTTTTGATATAAATAAATCTTTTCACACCTGAAATTATTTTGTATGGTTGCCTTTTATGAATTGGGCTAAATTTTTACAATAAAATTGGTTTCAAGGGAGGTTAGTGATATTTTTAGAATTTCAGAAGAGGACAGTAGGACAGTGGAAACTGTCAGAAACCTTAGGAGAGGTTTATGAAATTATCCCTTATTTTCTAGTTGGGTACCACTATGATTTTCTCATTGCTACAGAAGTAAAACTGGAAGCAATAATTCATTTCTCGACACTTTATTTTGGAAGAAGATCATAGCTTGATCCGTATCACACATACATAGTATGCCGGAAATGGGGTAGGGACCGTCCCTGAACGGTTAATGGCCATGATCTAGTCTCAAAAATTTATGCGGCTGAGATCATAAGTTGTAACTCGATTTCCACGTCATGTGTGGGATCCACAAAAATTTGCTCTAAAGTTACGCGATGTACAAAGAAAGTTACACGCAGTTGAAAATGGGCAAAACCGTCCGGGACGGTTGCAGGTCCGTGCCCCTTGTCCATAGTATGCCATAGTATTATGGTGACACCTCTCGAAAAAATCACACATACATGAAAGACAAGACTAAACTGGAACAATATGCCATAGTATTATTTATGTCAATATTCAATAATGGTGACAACATACCACGCCAAAATGTCTAATAGCATAAAGCATGAAGCCATACCCCATAATTTTGCGTGTGATGTTTCATGATTTTGACAGGATATGGTTGTGGGTGGAACTGACACAACTTCTAACACGGCTGAATTCGCATTGGCTGAGATGCTGAGGAAACCAGAAATTTTGAAAAATGTTCAGCAAGAACTGGAGACGGTTGTGGGCAAAGGTAAGATAGTAGAAGAGTCTGACATTCAGAAACTGCCATACTTGTATGCAGTGATGAAAGAAGTTTTGAGGTTGCATCCAATTCTACCACTCCTGATCCCTCATTGCCCAAGTGAGACCTGCATTGTTGGAGGATATACAGTTCCAAAAGGTTCTCGTGTTTTTATCAACGTTTGGGCGGTTCACAGGGATCCTTCCATTTGGGAGAACCCTTCGGAGTTTCGCCCTGAAAGATTCCTGGATGGTAAATGGGATTACAGTGGAAATGACTTCAATTATTTCCCATTTGGCTCGGGGCGGAGAATTTGTGCAGGTACTGCAATGGCTGAGAGGATGTTCATGTTTTCACTTGCTTCGCTGGTTCATTCCTTTGATTGGAAGGTGCCTGAAGGAGAACATTTAAACCTGGAAGAGAAGTTTGGAATTGTGTTGAAGAAGCGAATGCCTTTGGTCGCAATACCAACTCCACGATTATCTGATGCATTTCTATATGAGTAACAAGAAAACTGCTGCCTCTGTGTATCATTTCACTCTGCTGGTTAGTTAAGCCTGGTATTGAAATCAGCGAAAATCTACCACAAGATTGCTATTTTGCTTGACGTCAAAGTAAAAGGGACAAAAATACTGGCAAGTAGTTCTGAGTTTCTTTCACCTTTTTGTACCTTACATTTTCAACAAAAAATATATATATATATATATCTTTCTAATTGGAAGAAGGTAAAGTTAGTGAACATGCATGGTCTGAATTCTTAAAGAGGCATAGGGGAGAGGACTAACCAGTATGCCTCTAAGTAATACCAAAAAACTTCAAACAATTCAGCAAACTTTACAGCATAATATTGAAATGTACCATGGAATTGTTGTGAATTGAATGTACCTAATCAGCTGGCCGGACTAAAGGATCTGTTCGGTTGGGTGTAAAATTTTTTTAAGGAAGAATATTTTTCTGCGATTGACGTTTTAAATGAACACTTTCCTGACAATGCGTCCCTCTTGAATTCCCATTTAATGCTACCTTGCAATCGTAAAGCCATGCTCTGCAGTTTAGAAAGTATATTCCATGTCATTTGCATTATACCATAGCTCTCTATCCATATGTATTAGTGCAAGGTAAGTGCAACTCGACCTTTATAGTCCACACTTCGAGAAGCTACTGAAAAGGGAGATGGACATTAAAAATAAATAATGTCTTCGGAAATGATAAGGTTACATTTATCATCACCAAGTCTAACAGGTGTAGAGCGATTGAAGCTTTGAGTAACTTAAAAATAATAATAACAACAATAATAATAAGCACATCAACCTTCATTGTTCTATAGATTTCTTAATTGGTATAATCTAGGAGCATCAAGATCAAGAGGTGAGGAATCAGACAGCAACGAAGCGCATTTTCCACCAAATCCTTGCAAGAATTATTCCTGCATTGGGTTCACATATATGTCCAAAGATATTTCCTATCTGATATATTTGTCAACTTCTAGTTACTGCCAAATTTCACGCCTAAAGTCAGATGTCTTACCAAAAGGAATCTGTTAGCGGCCGCCCGTCCTTCCCAGCTATAATTTTTTATGTCCTAACAAATCAGAATTCAGAAGCAAGAATCGTTGAACTGTAAACCAGAAGAAGATCTGCTTTGTACATTTCTATGATCTACTGAACTGTTCATTCTTGACTCTTGCCTTGCACGTATAATCTCTCCTTTCCTTTTGTCTGATTCCTTGTCTTTCCTTATAATATATGCCATACACTGAGCAGGTTTGTTGCTTGGAGTAGTTCAGTTGATTACAGACCATGATTACCATGTTCCAGTACCCTCATAAACTAAGCACTTTCTTGAATAATGTTGGAGACTTTCTTGGATATCCAACACTAGTCTTCATGTTTATAGCAACATGGCTCGCCTGGATACTTTTCAACATAGCAAGGGGTCAAAAACCACTGCCACCAGGTCCATGGGGTTTGCCTGTGGTAGGAAACCTTCCATTTCTTGATCCTGAACTCCACTCATACTTTTCTAACCTGGCTAAAACCTATGGTCCTATCTTCAAACTCAGGCTTGGTGGGAAGGTCAGTGTTGTGATTGCTTCACCAGGCATGGCACGCGAGGTGCTCAAAGACCAGGATGTAACCTTTGCCAACCGGGATGTCCCTGTGGTAGTGACAGCAATGGAATATGGTGGCCGGGACATAGTTTTTACGCCATATGGCGCTGAGTGGAGAATGCTGAGAAAGGTTTGTGTTCGCGACATGCTTGGCCATGCCAATCTTGATGCTGTCTATTCTTACCGAAGACAAGAAATCCATAACACTATAAAGTACCTTTATAGTCGAAAGGACTCTCCTGTTAACGTGGGTGAAGTGATGTTCTTGAACGTTCTCAACGTAATTACAAATATGCTATGGGGCGGTACTATTCAGGGAAAAGAAAGGACTAACATTGGAGCCGAATTCATGCAAGTGGTTGCAGAGGTTACTAAGCTTCTAGGGAAGCCTAATGTATCAGATTTCTTTCCATGGTTGGCCTGGTTGGATTTGCAGGGTGCAAAGAAACAGATGAAAGTAGTCACCTCCAAACTTGAGAACATATTTGACAAGATAATTGACCAGCGAACACGGATTGATGGACAGAAAGGGATTGGTAGCAGCAATGGTAACACAGAGAGCAAAGACTTTTTGCAGGTTTTATTGCGGCTGAAAGATGCTGGTGATGCCAAAACACCTCTAACCATGGACCATGTCAAGGCATTACTCATGGTATGTTTTACCGTCCCTTTTTCATTTGACCTCACAATGTCGTGGTAATACTCGAACCTGGCTTCAAAGGACTATGTTATGTTGTACTGGAGAAAAGTAGGTAGCCTGGTGATTAAGAGCCTTGTGTCATGGTCTTAAAAGGAGGAAAAATGATTTTCACCACTAAGCAATATATGCTTGTATGGTTTGAATTGTATTGCTTAATTGCTATTTTACTAATAACAGGATATGGTAGTTGGGGGGACCGAAACAGCCTCGAGTACGGTTGAGTTTGCCATGGCAGAGATGATGAATAAACCTGAAATCATGAAGAAAGTACAGACAGAATTGGAGAATGTAGTTGGAAAAAATGCAATAGTAGAAGAATTTCACATTCAGAAACTGCCTTACCTCTATGCAGTGATGAAAGAAGTCCTGCGCCTGCACCCGGTTCTTCCCCTTATGGTGAATCACAGCCCCAGTGTATCAAGTGTTGTTGCCAATTACAGAATTCCAAAGGGTGCTCAGGTTTTTGTTAACGTGTGGGCAATTCATAGGGATCCCTCCATTTGGCAGAGTCCACTGGAGTTTCTACCAGAAAGATTCTTGAATGGCAAGGGAGATTATAGTGGAAATGATTTTAACTATTTACCATTTGGCTCCGGCAGAAGAATCTGCGCAGGAATGGCAATGGCAGAGAAGATGGTTTTGTTCTCCCTTGCTTCACTTCTGCATTCCTTCAACTGGACATTGCCTGCAGGAGAGAAACTTGAAATTTCTGAAAAGTTCGGAATAGTTTTGAAGAAGAAGACACCCTTGATCGCCATTCCTACGCCACGGTTGACTGATCCAGCGTGTTATGAGTAGACACAGAAGCATAGGATGGTGCATTTGTTTGTGTATCAACAACCATAGCTGAGAGTACAAATTGTGGAATTTCTCCAAGAAGCAATTTGATATGTTCTAAATTTGACAATTAAAATTCCAACAATTTCAAGGCACAGTTGCATCTCATTCAATCGTATCTCTGCTTTTGTAGAGACTCCCATCCAATTACGAAAGGAAAAAAGTGCGCTAACCTTTTAACATTCAAAATTTCTGAAAGTGGTCAATATCTAGCTGTGGCTTTCAATCCTAATTATTGACTAAAAGCCCAGACTTACATTGGACCTTTATCGGCTGATGATTACAGATAAGATCTTTGAGGGAATAAGATTGCCTTCATCAGTTCCTTTTCCTTTTTTTTTTTTGGAGTTAAAAAGTACAAGGCTACGTATCTAGCAAAGTCTAAAATTTATGACCAGGGGGCTTGGGGCATTGATAAGGGCGCGCAGTTTGTCTGAAGGCTTATTGTTGGCTTGTCTGCGATGCCTCCATTGTTGACTATTAGTAATGCTTTTCTGAGAACTGATACTCAAATTCTATTTTGAGTTAGAAACGAATTTGTTATGGCTCTAAAGGATATCTATCGATTAAGTACATTCTTGCACAATACGAGCGTTGTAGATGTTTTCTTGCATAATACGAGTGTCGTAAGAGCCGAGTGAAAAGAAGGCAAAAGTTGTTCAGAACTAATTGTAACTGGGTAGCAGCCAATTCAAGTAACCACACTATTTATTGAATGTGATGTGGAAGGGATCCATCCCTATAGCAATTCCCATCACAATTCCAGTTAATTTGATAAAGCATCTGGTTTAATCGTAATAACGATGGATAAGATATTAGAGGTCCTTGTTGAATTGAATTGCCTGTGGTCTCAAATCTCTCAACGTAAGCTACTAAGTTAGTCATGCGTGTTGTTCAAAATTGTGGGCGATTTGACATCAACCATAATTTCAGACACATTCATAGTATTCCTCGAAGTATCCTGGAATGGTATCCACACAAACTCTAGCCTGTAGCTATTATCAGCTATACCCATTCATACTATATATCCCTGACTGACTTATCTTGGAATGATATCCACATTTCTACATAGCGGTGGGCTAACAAAAATTCAGACACGTAATAAGCTACTTCCTCCTATATCTTTACACTAATAGCCAAGAAGAATCTGGTCCTTCTTGAATACTCACCGTTTTCTTCACTCAGCTCTTGGATATTCTCAATATGATTATGCACACAATTCTTGCAAAATGTGCATGGTGGCTTGAAAACAGCAACAAAAGAGACATGCTTGTCCAAGCAGCTCTTACTGTCTCAATTGCGACAATATTCCTTTTCTGGTGTATGGTGGCGTTCATCAAGTCCAGGAGGGGAAAGGTCTTATTACCACCAGGGCCTCGCGGCTTGCCAGTTGTTGGGTACTTGCCATTTCTCGGCACCAACTTGCACACTGAGTTTGCTGAGTTGGCTCATCAATATGGTCCAATCTTCAAGCTGCAGCTTGGAAACAAACTATGCGTTGTACTTAGCTCACCACCTCTCATCAGGGAGATAACGCGAGACCAAGACGTTGTTTTTGCTAATCGTGACCCTCCAATTGTTGCAGTGGCAGCAACTTATGGCGGACTTGACATTGCTTGGTCCCCCTACGGCGCCTACTGGCGTAATATGAGAAAGATGTTCGTGCGAGAGATGCTGAGTGGACGCAACCTTGATGCTTGTTATGATCTTAGAAAATCTGAAGTAAGGAAGGCAGTCGAATACGTTAGCACAAAGGTTGGAACGGTGGTAGACATTGGTGAATTGATTTTCCTAACAGAGGTAAAGGTTATTATGAGCATGCTTTGGGGAGGTACACTTGATGCGGAAAAGCAAAGCAAAGTTGGACCCGAGTTCAGGGGTGCGGTTGAACAAATTGTGGGAACGATTGCGAAACCAAATATATCTGATTTCTTCCCTATCCTTGCCAGGTTTGACATACAGGGCATAGAGAAACAAGTGAAGGCTCTTCTAAAAAAAGTTGATGAAATTGTGGATGCTGTCATAGATGAAAGGATCAAGATGGTCCCTAACAACGTGGAGGATCCAATCAGGAATGAGGCGGAAAAAGACTTCATCCAGATCCTACTTGAGCTGGTGAAGCTGGAAAATGAGGGAGAAAAGATCACTTTGACACAAGTAAAAGCCATTGTGATGGTAATTCTTCTGTTAATGCAATTTTGACGTCGATATATCTGTGTTTCCATGTTTCACATTTTCATTCCTTTTAGAATTGGGGCACGTGAAATTACTCAACAAATGCAATGAATAAATTAAAAAATTTTATGAGAGCTAAATTGTTCCGGATCTAATTCTAGCTAATTCGTGAACAGGATATTATGGTTGGTGGTACAGACACTACAGCCACCATGGCCGAGTGGGTGATGACGGAGGTTTTGCACGACAGAGAGATAATGGAAAAGGTCCAGAAAGAATTGGAAGATGTTATAGGGATCAACAACACTGTTGAAGAGATACATCTCCCCAAGCTACGGTATTTGGATGCGGTAGTAAAGGAAACTTTTCGCTTACACCCTGCATTGCCTCTCCTCGTCCCAAAGCGTCCAAGCCAATCTTGCACGGTTGTGGGTTTCACCGTACCGAAGGATACTAGGGTCTTTGTAAACGCCTGGCAAATACATAGGGATCCTGAGCTCTGGGATAATCCATTAGAGTTCAAGCCAGAAAGGATTCTGGCTACACCTAGCAAATGGGATTACAGTGGCAACAATTTTCAGTATATTCCATTTGGATCAGGGAGAAGGATATGTGCAGGCATTCCTTTAGCAGAGAAAATGCTGATGTACATCGCGGCTTCACTCTTGCACTCATATGATTGGAAATCAACCAAAAGCAAAGAGGCAGACCTTTCAGAGAAATTCGGGATTGTCATGAGGAAAAGCACACCATTATTAGCGATTCCTACCAAGAAAGTGGATAAATCTGGTGTGCCTGCATGACAGAGCAGATCAGCCACCTCAACATAATTGCTGTTGGATATGATGTTAAATAAATTCTCCTTTTTACTGCATTGAAGCTTTTATTATCTCGTTATAACATTGCTGAATGATATATATTCCATTTTTCTACATCTCACAATTATCCCGTTATAACATTGCTGAATGATTCAAACTTCTCGACATTTCTTTATTGTCAAAAGGAAGTATTAAGCGGAAATGAGTTAAGAGAGAGAGAGCCACCACAAGTTATTGATACAAAGATTATCAAATGAGAATCCAGTTTTATTGATACAAAAACCTGCTATTATTATCTTGAATGCCAAATCATCAGAAGAGATTGTCAATGCATCCTCATCAAGTGACAAAATCTGACTTCAGATACAAATAACAATCTTTAGCTCGCGAGATGTTTATGTATGTACACAGTTGAGAAGGAAAGAACAGTCCATTGTTAAGCAGAAGCGGCAGCATTGCAAATTGGCAGATCCTTTTCAACATTAGGAGGGATGTTGAGAATAGGATTACTCTCAAAAAAATTGACTGGCTTTAGGTCAAAGCTTGATGACACGGTTGGCATGATGGGAAAGTCCTCTTGACATGGAACATGATGGAAACCTAATGTATACCACAGCACTATGTCCTTGTTCTCAATTGGTCGATTTCTGCAAGCAAAAGAAAGAGAATGCAACTCAGAAATTTGAGAGTTAAAATAAAAATCTTCAGTAAATAACACTTTTTTCTCGAGGCACTACTAGAGAACCTTCCTTTTTGGGTTCCAAGTGAAAGGCAAATAATTGCTAAGAATTCAGTTATTTTTTATATGTAATATACTAACAAGTTTTTGGTCTAATTATAGAAAATGCTACAGTCAAAAGAAAAAATTGAGATGCAATAAGACCTTTCCCTTGCCATTATGTTTAGTGACAGAAAAGTTTAGAGTGGACGCAGAGAATTAACATTAAGTTTGACCTTGCTTCTATGTTTTTTCCCCGATCCGACAGGTCACAGAACTAAAGCTTTGCAAAAACTTTAGTTTTCAAATTTTGTGATATTATCGGAGAAAATAAATCCGTTCTAATCTTAGTCTTTGCCGTTTCTTCTTCCAATTCCCTCAAGACAATAATATCTGCATAAGAACTTGTTCATAATAGGACTATCTTGGGATTTTACCTGTTAGACCATACCGCAAGTGTATCGTCACCCTGACTCTGATAAACGAACGAGCCACCAGCCCATTGCTCTTTCTGATTATATGGAGTTACCCAAATCTGGTTATTCGTAAATGCTCCCCTCTTTTGAGGAGGATCATCGAGGTCAAGCAGACTAGCTGCTGTGCCAGAAGCAACCACCTTATACCCAACAGGGTTTCCCACTCTTGTTTTCTTGGATGGATTGATAACATGGAATTCCGCCGGATCATAGAGCTTGAGCTTTATTTGTGCATCTTTCTCAGTCTTAGCAACATTCTTGACAGCTTTCAAGTAGCTCCTTCTTGGTGACACTTTCGGTGGATTGTTCGACCTCTCGATATTTACTTTCACAAAGGAATTATTGGAGCCATCCACATCCATGTCGAGGTAGAATGCAACGTAGTGATCATGAATGACACCAATAACATTTTCGGACAATAGTGTTCCAAAAAGATTTTCCTGTTGGTTCACCTGATTCATGTGTACATAGGAAGTGCCCTTCACCATCAATATACCACTCAGTCCAACCTGTGATCAATTATCCAAAGAAAAAACCAAAACTTCATCAGACTTGGTGGATGTTGAAATTGGAGAACCTTCTGGCACCATTTGTCAGTCTAATTCCACTTTTTTGTCAGTCATTTTCAAAGGAATATCTCACAAGTAGCTAACTGTATATGGATCAGGCCTCAATTATTGGGCCAATTTGTCTCCAATAGCAGGTAAGTAACTAATATCCTTTGCATGATTGAGGTTATTAATACATGTTTAGGGGACGCCATCTTGGGCGGCGGTGTGCAAACTTGTCATCATAGGCTCATAGGCATATAAATATACGAGTAAAAGCGATTAAAATCTTACCTTGACTCTGATAAGTCCATCCATTTGAAACTCCCAATCCACAATGTAGTCATAGTTTGCCACTGATGCTGCCATTCTCACCACTAAGGTCACCTTCGGTCTTGCCTCTCTGATCTGCCCAAAAATAATAATAATAATAATAATAATAATCAATGAGCATAATTATTTCCTAACTCGATGGCCTAAGAGAGATCAATATCTCATCACACAACCAAATATCCTAGCCATTATTTTTTCATCAAACCAATTTCCCACCTTGTCCATTCCTTCCAATATTTTCAAATAATCAACTAAAGTATACAGAGCTACCATTGACTACTTGTTTTCAATCTCAAGAAATGATATGCTGACTTGTTAGTGGGTGTTTACTTTTGTAAATGTAAAAATTGTACCCCTAATTTCTTCAGCTAATTTTCATACTAGCAGAAAAGTTAAAAAAATTGGTTCTATATACTCTTAGGCACAACCCATCACACAAAGGTTGGTAGTCTAGTGGTTGGATGCGCTGCTCCACGGTACAAGTAGACACATGTCATAAACATATATATATATATATATATATATGTATTCATCATAGTAAAAAAAATTTGTTACGTGTAACTTAGAATCAATCGATGTCCATTATTTTAGCGTTATAACATGTTTCAATGTTGGCACAGAAAAAAAAAACACACACACACATATAGCGAAAGCAATTTTAATGCATATAAAAATAAAAATACGTAGGAAATGATTACCCCCATTCCGGTAATTGGACTCTCGGAATGACGCCAACCAATATCACCTCCATAGCTTTCGAATACACAAACCATATTAGATCGGACGTATGGAGTTCCATCAGCAGCTGGAAACACACCATCCATATAATAGGCATTACGCGGACAATCATTAAGCGGGTCAAGAGGCATGGCCTGGAGCCCAAACCCGTATTCACCAGCATCCATATACGTTTTAAAGTACCATGCATCAGTGGGGTCCATGTATGGCACAAACAGTTCTGATGAAAAGCCTTTGTACATCACATCCCTCATCACCCCAGTACCCGGGTCCCTGACCTTGGCCCGAGAAACGATCACTCCAGCTCTTGGGTCGGGTTTGAGGTGAAATTCCCAGTTTGCCCATTTCACTAAGTGATCATCCTCTATAGTGTAACTTGGACCTTTTGGCTGCTCAATAGATATTGGGTTTATTAGGCTTTGATGGTAATTTTGGGCTGAAAAGCGGTACTCCGTATTGGCAGCCTTTGGTATTGGTATGTTCCTGCCCTTATCAGTAATTTCCACCACTTCTTTAGTGTCCAAATCAAGAAGCACTGTTAGACCCTCAATCGGCCTCATGTAGAAGTTTGCAGTGTCTTTCATAGAATAGCATTGCACTTTAATCAACCTTCTCTTCTCCTCACTCTTGCCTACCAAAATTGCAAATATATATATATATATATATATATATATATATATATATATATATATGTTAAACACGACTTTGTAATACTAGCTTTTAAATGATTAAAGACTATACAAACTTTGAAAGTAAGGTTGAAATAACTTACCACCTATAATTATTAACTACAAGAAATTGGCGTGATGTTCACATCGCACATGCATAGATATCTACCACCAATTGACCTTAGGGTGTGTGCGATAAGATTAAAATCTGAAATTTGAATTCTAAATTTGTTAAATTACTGAATTATTAATTATTAATTTGATACATTTGATTGTATATCATATTAAGTGATAAGTAAATAACTTATCATTTATTTTTTTTAAGCAAGTTTTGTCTAGAAAATCTAATATCAATTAATTAATTTAAATATTTTATTTTTTATTATCAAACCCGTCTAAATAAATTAATATCTGAACTTATTCGATTTAAGTGTTGAATTGAGTTATCAAACAAAGCCTTATTATAAAATTTTAAGGTGCAAATTATACTTACTAAACCAGACTTGATCCAACGGTTCAACCAGCATGACCGACCACCTAGTCAGTCCGGGTTCTTATTAGATTGGAATCATCGTTTAGGACAGTAACCCATGGACTAGTCAAAAATTCGCCGATTCTACTGTTAAAAAGTCCAAAAAAATTGGTTGGTTCAACCATTAGACACACGGTTGAACTGCTAACCATTAAATCAATTGTCTTCTCAGATCGATGTCCAAACCAGCTTTAGTAACTCTGGTGTAAAGTGTGCGAATGATATAGAATCTGTTCAAAAAAAAAAAAAAAAAAATACTGTGTCGTGCCATCCGTCCATTTTTTTAAAATATTTTGTAAATATTAAAATTCATGAAAAATAACGTTTAAATTAGCTCATGTGACACGTCTTAGCAGAAATGTGTTGAATGAAAAATTTTCCACAAACAAGAAAACAATTGCTTACCAAACCATCCACTGGAAATTGGCAAACATGCGAGGTCAGCTAAATCAACTCCGCGCTCAATAATCGTACGGTTAAAATCAGCGTTGGCCAGAGGGGCCCAGGTGGACGAAGTCATATCCTCAACAGTCATAGTCGGGTAACCCGAATGAGGACCTGTTTCATGGAGGATCACTTTGCTAGTCTCGAGCTCAACCGTGAGCACGTGTGAGACCCTACTCACACGTGCGACGACCGAAGCTTTTCTAGGCGGAAGCGGGTCTCCCTTCTGCCACGTCAGGACAAGCTGTTTGTCGGGCTCGTCCAGAACGACTGAATGCAGAGCATAGTTTGAGTTCCTGAACAGGTCATGGGATTGGATGACTTTTTTGACCTTGTTCAGCTCCGGGATGGTCAGAGGGTCGAGGGGATGGTGGGGGACGGCGGTGGAGTGGCGGCGGAGTTTAGAGTCGGAGGGGAATTGAATGACATGTGGGTTTTTGAACTGGAAGCGGTTCTTGGAGGAGGTGCACCAGGGAGAGTTGGTGGTGCAGCCTAGCGAGTTTGATGGTGGATAAGGAAGGTTGGATATGGTGAAAAACAAGAGGATTATGATGCCACAGAGAAAGAATAGATTGCGAAGGAATTTTTTTCCTTCCATTAGGCTTACTTGGGTAGCAGCTAGTGGAGTGAACTGAGTGGTGGCCGGGGCTAATGAGATAGCATGACCAGCAGCCAGGGAGTAGGATATATTATATATAGTGGGCTTATTGTGTTAGAAAAATCATTTTTGAATCTTGTTCTTGGTACACGAATGGTGTTAAAATTTTGTACAGCCTTAGACGGTTTGGAAGAACGGTGCTACTGCTAAAAATAATGGCGTTTTGAGTGGAGATGCTGGCTAAATATCATCTCATAAGTTTAAGAGCTAAGTTGTCAGTATTAAAAATAATTTCAGCAAAAACTTTAATGTGATGATTTTAAAATATTTTTTGTATTTTTAGGAAGTAAAATATGATTTTATATTATGAACTATAAACTAAATAAAGAGGTAAATAAGCATTTACGAGAAACATGCCTCCAAACAACATATTTAAGTACTTAATAAGTTTTTTTATTAAACATTTTTATTAAATAAAATATTTTTTAATAAGTCATCTAAATTTAGATAGGACATTTAATTTAGAAATTTACACTTGTAAACCGTGTGATGGTATGCGATAATCACATAATTTTTCTTGCTTCATCGTGTGATAGTCACCGTCACTTCTATATCGTTGTGCGACATCATATCGCTCTAACAATGGAATCAATCACATGACTTCGAGATTGACGTATAAGTCAAGTCTATCATAATATATTTGGCACAAAGTCCAACAAATCAAGCACCGCTAGGACTGTTATCGAGTCCATTTAAGTTCGAAACAGTACACTACTTAAATGAAAATACTTCGACTCGAACTAGTCAAATTTCTCATGGTTTGTGGTCGAATTCAAGTTCAGTCAAATCGATTTCAATTGAGTTTAATTGAGCTCAATCAAATTTTACAACTCCATTTTTTTTGTAAATTTCATAATTTTATAGTAAATAATTAAAATTTATATTATAAAAACATTACTTGATAAAGTTAGACTAGTACTCGAATTTTAATTTTTTCTACTCGATTACTTCATCAAATAATTGATCTTAACTCGAATTTGGTCACTGACGAATTAAAGTTGAATCTTTGATGGAACTATTTGATGGAACTACTCGTAAGTTCAAGTCAAATAATTTGATTACTTTATACCCCTACCAAGCATCTTGCACAAAGCAAATAAAAAGTTAAACAGATATTTTGACTTTTATTGGATACACTAAATTGAGCTTGACGCACGTAAAATCTGTCGCGTGGTGCTACACTTATTCCTTTTTCACAAGCGTGCGGCTTATCTAGCAAAGCACTTATAGAGTTGGAGTTGGAGTTGAACCGTTCATTTAATTACGTGCATTCTTTGTAGAGTTGGAGTTGTATGTCACACTAAGAGCATCCACAGTGTTATTACATCTTGTGTAGTGTTGTTACATCAGCATTTCACTTTCTCCTCTTTTATTACACTTTCACTCATAATGGATTACACTCCATAGGATGTAATAGCATGGGTTCACAATTAAATCAAATATTTATTTTAATAATGCATAACTCATATCCCATGAATAGATAAAGTAATTTTTAAAAATAATTTTGTTATTTTTAAAAAATAAAGTACTAATGGGAAATTTGAAAATTTTTGGGGGTTTTGATTTTGTGAGGATGATGAATTTTCTACATTTGGAGCATTTAACATATTTGTAAAACTACTAAAATTTTCATCCATAATCACAAAAAATGAATTAAATGAGTGAGAGAGTAAAAGAAATAATAGAGTAAAATAGTGGGATATATTTTAAAAAAAAGTATTGTGTGTTTATATAGAAGGCTAAAATGTATTGTGTGCTGGCAAATTTACCGTTGAAGCAAAAATTAAATGTAACGGTTGGTGACTAGAATTAGTTTACATTTAATCATGGGTCTCATCTTCTAAGAGATTACATGCATCATATCCATGATACGTGTAATCTCCATGACACGGCGGTGTAATGGCCCTCCATTACACCCGCGCTGCCGTTGCTCTAATTAATTGTAGTTCAATTCTCCAGCTACTAATAAGATATCTTAGCGTCTTAAGGTAGTCATGTAGGATACTAAGATCCCTTACTTATTCAACAAAAGCATGATGGGGTAGGATGGATATTCAAGAATTCACGAATTACGAAGCTCAGGGAACAATGGTAATCTGCTTCCCCGGGTAAATAAACTGATGGTTCATTGCTTAAAACTGGTAACTTCGAGAATATTTGATTAAATTTCAAATTTTTTTTTTTTTTTTTTTAAAAAAGAGATGTATCCAACTGAACTTATTCATTGATCATAATTACCGTCCAAGGACTCCACTTACAAGATTAATCACCTCTTCAAAATCTTGAATTTAATGCACCCTTATTTTTCCAAATCCAACTCATGCATGGAGTGGCGACCTTGAATTGGCTTCAGGGTGAGGCTCTTCATCACGATTGCTACCCAATGGCGAATCGTAGAAGCACGCATTTGACTGTTATTAGATTACAGTTTATACCATAAAATCACTCATAACGAGCCTCTAATCCACCCCACTTAAAAAGCAAGTGTCGGACAGCCAATTTTGATTGGCAAGTTCTTGTTGGTCTTCGAAGCTGAATGCACCAAAAGAGATGCCAGCATCACCATCCCATTTATTTCCCTACCCTTTGGTATACGTATGGAATCCTTGGTGATAAGATACGAGATTATATACCAGATTCACTGCTTATTTTTGCATAACTATTTGGATAAGTTGTCATCCTCTTCGGAATTTTTGCGTATAAGTTGAGTTCTGAGGTGGATCACCAGCTATTTCATTTATTTTATTTTTGCCCTTTTTGCTAAAGTTTGATCCATGAAAGACTAGTACTAGTACCTTTTCTCTTGCAGTGAGTGTGGACTGCAATTTTGTTCTTATATTATGTCGGGGGAATCTCGAAATTAGGGTGCCCAAGATCAGACGCAACTCCAAGAAATATCTCACGCCCAAACGACAGAGAAGGTGAGTCATGACTAATTACTAATAAATGGATGAATAAACTATTTAATAATTGATTGATGCCTGACTGATTGTACTTTTTTGCTTGAAATATTGTGGCTCAGATTGAGACTGTTGGAATCAGCATCTGAATGGATCTCAAGATTCCGGTACCTGTTTAATTTTCATTGGGGTGATTTCAAAAATCTCGGCTGAGGTTTCTGACAATTGCAACTATCTTCCTTAAAGTTTAAAATGTTATGAAAATCTCCACTAAAAGGTATGTTTTAATAACAATTTGTGATGTAAGCGAAACAATGTCCACTGAATACTCTATATTTACCTATCAGATTTGTAAAACAAATCCAAATAGTAAAAGAAGCCAAATATGACCATTACTTGATAGATAAAATTTTCCAAGTAGTTATTTGCAGGAAAAATTGAACCACGTCTTGAAGGCATCATTTTTGTGCTTGGACATTTTTTTTTAGTTAAATAATTTGTTAAGATACTCTGTTTAACAATTGCATTCCTATTAGTTCATCAGTTCTTTATAGAATAGAGCAAAAAATTCATCCAAGGATTTGAGAATGTAAAATAATGTATTAGATAAGATGATATTAGAACTTTTCGATAAAGAAGCGTTAGTGAGAATGAGTTCCCTTTTTTCTTTTAAACTCACTTTTTATTTAAGATTTGTAGAGTTTGTGAAGGTTGTTATAATTTTTTCATAATATTAAGAGAGGTAAGTATAATTTTTCAAACTTTAGAAGAAGTAACACAATTGGAAGAAACATTATGAGAGGTTTCCGAAATTATTTCATTTGTTTAGATTCCATATGGACCACAACAAAGACCATATCAACATGCATGTCGGGACTCCGACATCATTGGCGACGAAGCGCTCCAAATATTTGAATACTAGATTAGTTGGGATAGTTTTGTAAAAAAAAAAAATAGTATTATTTTTTTTAATATAATATATATAAGATAAAAAAAATGTGGTTGAAAATTTGTTGAAGATGCAAACAAAAAAAAGTTGGCAAATAATCACCGCCCAAACAAACCTTGAAAGCTTTGGCATGTCATACTTTTTGGGCTTCCCCTTTGAAAACTTTGATTTGACTCCATCATTTACTGGCGTGATGTTCACAAAAAAAAAATATTTTGAAAAGAATGTTCACAAAATTAGTGACATCTTTTATGTTGGATTCCAACTCCAATCAGAATCAATTTGTTGTCATGTATGTCTAGGATTGTTTCTATTTGATTATTTGATTTACTTGGACTATGATCTAATACATTCTTAAAAAAAAAAAAAACTCAAATTAAGTAAATAGATCTCAGGGGAGTTGGAAGGGTGGTGGGAAAGGGGAGGAGGGAGGAGAAGAGGGGCGGCGGCAGTAGTGGTTGGTGATGGTGGGTGGTGAGTATAGAAGGTGGGTGGAAAAAAAAAGAGGCAGCAAGAATTATTTTATTTTATTTTATTTGCTTTGTTTAAGTGCATATTGTGTATTGATTGCATGGATTAAGTATTTTTGGAAGTGTTTTTTAAATGTGATAGTGTAGATTCCAAAAACAAAAAAAAGACAAATCCAAATAGACCTTTAGTTTTCATTGATGGTTTCATACCAGAAAAATCGTTTAAAACATCTCTTATATTTTCGCGAAAATATGAATCTCACACACTACTAGCCCCTATAATTGTTTTTTTGCCAGGTCACTTAACCTCAGCTTCGTCTCTTAGCTACTCTCTCCTAAAGTTGCTTCTTGTTCAATTATGCCATTTCTGTATTTGCAATTTGTTTTGGCTGATATCATCGAGGGCCGTCTGAATTTGAATACCTTTAGGCTTTTAGCTCGAGTCCATTCATGAGAGAAATATAATATGGTAACAAATTTGTCCATCCAACCATCCTCTAATATTTGGCAATCACATTCTCTTAACAGCTGCCAAACCTTAAGTAGATGATGGTGGGATACAATTTCTCATAATTGTCTTCGCCGAAAGCTCACCTATTCTGCATTTCCTAGCAACATTTCGTGGAAACAACTAATTGATTCCCCCGGGGAGTGTAGCTCAAAAATACATGAGGTAAAATGATTAGGAGTCTCTCGAAATGAGAGCATTTTCTCTCTCTACGTAGAGAGTAAATTCCCCCTTGTGGGTGTTTGAAACTACCAAAATTCAAATTACCCGCACTTCTTCTTTCCCAATAATTTCAACTTTTTCCACTGAAAGCATTGATCCTCCTTGCATTCAACAAACAATGATGAAACTGTGATGCATTTATGATGATTACTGATCTGTTTACTCACGATCCTCTTCAAATGGCTCGCTCAGCTTCATTTTGGTCCAGGTAGCTTGGTCTCTCGTAGGTAATCAGTAGGTTTAGCTCGGTCAGATCTAGTTGTTTTTCCTTGAATAATCTTCTTTTAGCTTGCTAATTGTTCCTTTCAGCTTCGTCTTCGTTCCGTTTGTAGTGCTTTCCATTCTGTTTGTGTTTTCTGTATATTTCTCTGTGTCTGTTGAGTATTTTGAACAGCTAGCTACTTTAGCTTCAGAGACAAGTCTCCAGTCTGAGCATCGCTTTGTAATTGCTTTGAGCTAACTGATAAGGAGGCTAATGGTATTCAGCTCGAAGGGGAGAAGTGTTTCAAGGAATAAAGGAATGTAAAATGAGTATCATTGGTAAAGTGGTGGGGGAAAAAATGTGAACATATCTGGAATTAAAAGTTTTTCCAGCAATATGTGGTCGTTTGCCAAAAACCTGAGAGTCATTGAGATTGGAGTGAATATGTTCCAGTTCATCTTTAGTAATAGGTATGATATGGATAGGATCCTTAATGATAGACCTTGGGTTTTCGATAATCTTCCTTTGGTGCTTCTACCTTAGAGGAAAGGGATTGAACTTGATACAAAGGCTTTTTCTAAGACATGGATTTGGGTCGAAATGTGGAATTTACCACTTCATTGGGTTACCAAGGAGATTGGGAAGAGGATTGGGGGAGTTTTCAATAAGGTTGGAGAGGTAACAATTTCGCCAGGAGGGAAGAAAGAAGGCAAGCACCTGAAAGTTTTGGTGGAATTGGATCTAAACCATCCTATTCTTAAGGGCTCTACAGTTAGGATGGGGGGTGAAACTAAGTGGATCGAGTTTAGGTATGAGAAATGCCCTGACTTCTGTTATTGTTGTGGGATTATAGGCTATAATGAGAGAAATTGTAAAGACAATGGTGTGAACATAAGGAAAGAAACACAATATGGAGCGTGGTTGAGAGCCAGCTCTTCCAGAAGTCTAGTTAAGAAATTTAATGAAGCTAAGTCTTCTGAATCAAGCAATAGAGAGGAACAGGGTAGTTCAAGGGACAGTAGGGTGGGTGTTAAACAATTGCTGCTGACTTGGCAAGCTGATGAAAAAAGCAAAAGCATACAAAATGAGGTTGCTAATGGGGGGGATGCAAGGGGAAATGATCATGAGATCCTGGATATGAGTGTTGGGGAGAAAACAGTGGGACCAATAGATTCAGAGGGGGGAGGATCAGATGGGATGGGGGATATACTAAAGGAAGGGGCAAAGGGGGGTAAAAATGAACTGTTAAGGGAAGAATTAAGGGGGGAAGCCTTGAGGAAGTGGAACATATTACTGTAAATGAGGAAGGGAGTAGACTAGTGGACTGTGACTTAATGTGGATTGATGGGAGTGAGGGAGGAATGGGTGAGTAGGGAGGGTTGGAGGGGGGTAAGTTGGAGGCAGAAGGTTCCAAGGTCTCAAAGGGGAATAGGAAACAGGTGTTAGAAAAATATAAGGGGAATAGTGGGTGGAAAAGATTGATTCAGGAGGTGGGAAGGAGGAAGCCTCTTGGAGAGCTTAACTCTGGACTGGAATCTCAGAAATGGGCAAATAAAAGGAAGCAGGATGGCTTAGATGGGAAAGAAAATGAGGGGTTGATGGATGGTAGGCTAAAGAGGGGTAGAAGAATGGTAATAGATATTGAGGGGATCACAATGCTGAAGGTGGTGGAGCCCAACATAAATAGTGCTTCAAAGTCTTTCTGAAGGCTCTGGTGTGAAACTGTCGAGGTGCTGGGAGCCCTTTGACAGTTCCCCAACTAAAGAGATTGCAAATCTCTATTCCCCAGAGGTGATATGCTTGTCAGAAACTAAGAATAGAAAATGTTTCATGAATAAAGTTAGGATGAAGCTGAGGTATGATAAACTGTTTGTAATGGACCCTGTTGGTAGGTCAGGAGGACTGGCTGTCATGTGGAAGAAAGAACTAGCTGTTAGTAAGGTGCTGTTTACTGATTTTTCGATAGAACTACAGATTGAAGGTACTGAGGGTGAGTCTAAGTGGTGGCTCATCTGTGTATATGCCAGTAGTGTAGAGACAGTTAGAGAGCAACAATGGAACATCATCACTAAAAGAAAGGTTTTATGGGAAAAAAACTGGGTGATTGCAAGGGATACGAATGATATTGTTAATAATGATGAAAAATGGGGTGGAATCATGAGGTCTGAGGATAGTTTTAGGAAGTTCAGGAGTTTCATTAAAGTGAATGAGCTGATAGATATAGGTTTTGAGGGTATTCTGTGGACTTGGTGTAACAACTGGGAGGATGAAGGGGAGATTAAAGAAAGACTGGACAGAATTATGGTCAGTAGAGGATGGATGAAGGACTACAAAAAGGCAAAGTGTATACATATCCAAAATGAGGCCTCTATCATTGCATGTTGTTGTTTGATACTGAGCCAGGGGGTAGGAAATGGAAGATGAGGTTCTATTTTGATAGAAATTGGCTTAAAAATCCAGGTGTATGGGAGGTAGTTAGTAAAGCTTGGAGCAAACAACAAATTGGTTCAAGAGATTATAGACTCCAGCTAAAAATAAAGGAGTGTAGAATGGCTCTTCTGGACTGGAATAGGCAGCACAATAGTAATGCTAAGAGGCAAATCCAGAATATAAAGCAGGAACTGAGGGAGCTACAAAGGAGTGGCAAAGATGATAAGGGAGAGAGGAGAAGAGAACTGAGAGGGAAATTGGCTGAGGCTTATAGAAAAGAGGAGGTGTTCTAGAGACAGAAGGCTAGGAGTTGTTGGTTAAAAGAGGGGGATAAAAATACTATAAGTATTTTCATGCCATTGTGGAGGGTAGGAAAAAGAGGAATACTATCTCAGCTTTGTAGAAGAGTGGTGGGGATTAGTGTAAATCTGGGGAGGATAATGAGAAGGAGATAGAGGGGTATTTTAGGGGCCTGTTCACTTCTTCTAATCCTCAGCATTTTGAAACTATTTTGGAAGGAATTCCTCAGATAATTACAAGGCAAATGAATCAAAGACTAGTGAGACCTGTTTCTGAAGAGGAAGTCAGGAAAGCTGTATTCTCCCTTCATCCAAATAAGACACCTGGACCTAATGGTATGACACCTATTTTCTTTCAATAGTTTTGGAATACCATTAAAATTGATCTTATAAATGCTGTCTCTAGCTTTTTTCACTCAGAAAACTTGTTAAGTGCCATAATAGTACCATGATCACTCTCATTCCAAAAGTTGATAATCCTGTTTGTATGTCTCAGTTCAGACCAATAAGCCTATGTAATGTGGTTTATAGGATCATCTCTAAGATTCTAGTTAATAGGTTAAAACCTTTGCTGAAGTATTGCATCAGTGAAAATCAATCTGCCTTTATACCAGGGAGACAGATCCTTGATAATGTCATAGTTACACATGAGTCAATTCATTGTTTGAACAATATGAGGAGTGAATCTAAGGCTTTTATGGCTCTAAAACTAGATATGTCAAAGGCATATGATAGAGTAGAATGGCAGTTTGTGGTGAAAATGATGGAAAAAATGGGCTTCTGTCAAACTTGGATTAAGTGGATATTAAAGTGTATGCCTTCTGTGACTTATTCTTTCAATATAAATGGTGAAAGTAGAGGATTTGTGAAACCATCTAAAGGAATTAGGCAAGAGAATCCCCTGTCTCCTTAACTATTCTTACTAGTTACTGAAGGATTCACAAACCTGTTGAGAAAGGCAATGCAGGAGAAAAGGTTGACTAGGTTCAAAGTGGCTCATGCTTGCCCAGCTTTATCTCACATTTTCTTTGCAGATGATACTCTTATTTTTTGTAAAGCTAATAAGGAGGAGGCTGATGAAGTGATGCAGATTTTGAAGCTATATGGGGAAGCCTCAAGACAGATTGTAAATGTTGAAAAATCTTCTGTTTTTTTTTTTGGAAAGAATGTAGGGGAAGGCAGGAAAGGGGAGGTACTGAGAGGGTTGGGAGGAATGAAGGTAGCACAATAAAGCAAATACTTGGGCCTCCCTATAGTGATTGGAAGACCAAAAAGACAGGTGTTATTTAGTTATATAAAGGATAAAGTTGTGAGCAGATTGGGAGGATGGAAGGAAAAACTCATAAGTCAGGCAGGTAAAGAAGTGATGTTGAAGTCAGTAATTTTGGCCCTTCCTACCTATGCAATGAGCTGCTGTAAGTTGCCAAAGTCTTTGTGTAAGGACATATGTAGAGAAATGGCTAAGTTCTGGTGGGGGGATAGTGAGGAGCAGAAGAAGATTCATTGGATTGAATGGGGGAAGCTATCTGATGTCAAAGGGAAAGGGAGATTGGGGTTCAGGGATCTCCAATGCTTTAACAAAGCAATGTTAGCTAAACAGCTTTGGAGAGTGTTGACTAATCCTGGACTGCTGGTTAGTAGAGTGATTAAGGGCAGATATTTTAAAGGTTCATCAATTTGGAGAGTGAAGGAAAGAGGAGGTAATTTCTGGATTTGGAAGAGTATTTTGAGTGCCAGGGATTTGCTAAATGCAGGTGTTCATAAAAGAGTTGGTGATGGAAGCTCTATTAATATATGGAAGGATAAATGGATAGTTAACAGTGAGGGTGGAATGGTGCAATCCAAGAAGCAGAAAGGTGTCAGATAGTAAAGATGCAGGAGCTGATTAGCAATGGTAAGTGGAAGATGGACTTGTTGCAGAACATTTTCAATAAGGAAGACTGTGCTAGAATAGGGAGCATCCCTCTGAGTACATGTGATAGTAAGGATAGATTTGTTTGGCCTAGGTCCAACTCGGGGAAATACACTATCAAATCTGGTTATGTGCTGGCTAAGGAGATGTCAAGCAGGAAGGGAGATACACAGGTGGGAGGGGGAAATAGCAGCAGAAATAAGGCAAACTCTGGAGTTTGGAAATTTTTATGGGGTTTGAACATAAAACATAAACTGAAACACTTCATATGGAAGTGCTTAAGGGGAATACTGCCAGTCAATGAGGTGCTGAAAAGGAGAACTGGAAAAGCAGATGACAAATGTGTTGGATGTGGAGAGCAGACAGAAACGTTGGAACACATGCTGTTTTTTTTTGCAAGAATGCTGAATTCATATGGAAAGCTACTCCTATTAGGTGGGATGGTTTGCAGGATTTCAGACACAATTTCTGGCATTGGTGGAATGGTCTTATGGAGGCTCAAAAAAGGGTGAAGGGGAGAGAACATATTGCTCTTACTATAAACATCCTGTGGCAGGTGTGGAACAGTGGAAGGCAAGGAATGGAGTTCAATTCAATAGGGAGAAAAGGTGCCCTGGTCAAACTATAAATAAAGCAGTGCAGGAATGGTTTGAATACAGGAATATAAATTCTGAAGCTGATAGGAGCAAAGGAACTGGGGATGGTACAGCTATGGTAGGTGGCAAATGGACTCCTCCTCCCAAAGGATTTATTAGCATGAATACTGATGTTAGTTTGAACATGCAAGAGAGAAAAGTTGGATGGGGGATAGTGGCAAGAAACGATGATTGTGTCTTGGTTGGAGCCTGGGCAGTGAGTGAAAATAGACTTGGGGATCCGGTTGTGGAAGAAGCTACGGCAATCAGGAAAGCCTTGATCGTTGCAAAGCAGAATGGTTGGGGAAAGATTGTGCTACAGTTGGATTGCAAAACAATAGTTGACAAACTCAACGCAAAGAGTGCAGAACATCTAAGTGTGGGAGTCATTCTGTTTGATATTTTAAAGCTCAGGATGGACTTCGTTGAATGTTCCTTCTCCTTTATCAGAAGGGGAGAGAACTCTGTAGCTCACCATTTGGCTAAATTTGCCTTACACTTGGTAGATGAGAATGTGTGGCAGGAATCATTTCCTGATTGGCTAAGTAGTTTAGCTAGTAAAGATGCAGGAGCACGTACTCCAGCTTTGTAACTTTGAATTGTTTTAATGAGAGTGTTATCGTTTGAAAAAAAAAACTAATTGATTCCCCCGGAAATTATGTTAGCAATTTGCTAGCAAATGTTGAGTAGCGAGGAATTGCCCATTTAGCGTGGCTTTTCACAGGCAATACTGTCAAAGTTACAAAATCATGATATGCATACTCAATACAAAAAGGAGGATTGAGTTGTTGAGTTGATGGTCACTGAGAAGTTGAGGCCCAACAAATTGGCAGGTCCTTCTCGAAATTGGGCATTACTCCAAGAATAGGATTGCTTTTGAAAAAATTGACAGGCTTTAGATCAAAGCTAGAAGACACTGTAGGCATCACAGGAAAGTCCTCCTGGCATGGTACGTGATGAAATCCCAGTGTGTACCACAGCACAATATCCTTGTTCTCAATTGGACGATTCCTGTTTGACATTTAAAAGAGGATCAAGAAAAAGTAAGTACCAACATATTAAAGAAGTCAATGAATGGATGCCCAGAAATTCTTGTTGGAGTTTACAGTGCTATCACCGTATATTTGGAGTTCAAAATTCGATTGTTTTTTATTCCTTTGAAGAAAAATTGAACCGAAGCAGATCCCAGGTAAAGTATTTACCTGTCAGACCAGACAGCAAGTGTATCTTCCCCCTTGCTTTGATACACTAGAAACCCACCAGCCCATTGTTCTGATCGGTTATAGGGAGTCACCCAAATCTATCATTACAAAATAACATTTGAATCGAAACTCGCGATGACCTAATATTTCCAGAAAGATTTTAATACTCGTGATCAAATATATATGATTATTAATTGGCGACACAATCCAATTACTGGTACCTGATTGTTGGTGAAAGCAGCTCGCAATTGTGGGGGATCATCAAGATCTAGAAAACTGGCTGCAGTGGCACGAGGAACCAGTTTGTACCCTGTTGGGATTACCTAATCTAGAAAACCGGGAAGGGTTAATGAAATGAAACTCGGAAGGATCGTAGAGCTTAAGCTTTATTCTTGCATCTTCCTCATTTTTGGCTACTTGTCTTTTGGCCTTCAAGATACTCTTTCTAGGAGATTGTCCCCCCAGATTCTCTTCCTTGACAAGATTAATGTTGACGAAAGAATTGTTTGAGCCATCAATGTCCATGTCCAAATGAAAAGTAATGAAATGATCATGCACAACACCAAGTACGTTTTCTGATACTAGAGGAGTGGACATTTCTACATTTGATGGCACTTGATTGAGATTTTCGTATGGAGTTCCTTTCACCATTAGCATTCCTGACAAGCTCACCTGGACTCGGATTAAACCATCCATTTGAAACTCCCAGTCGAATATGTAATCATAGTTTCCAACTGATGCTGCCATTCTAGCTACAAGAGTTATCTTCGGCCTTGCTTCTCTTATCTGCTCGAAAGTTAGAATCAAATTACTTCATCTACTTCACAGCTACCGATATCAACATTTTGCAGTTATACAATATTGACGCCTTCATGTACAAATTATCCAAGTCAAGGGGCTGAATGAGAATACAGGTTTCGAATATTCCTAAAATTGACACTCGGGAATATTATAGTTAATTACATGTAGTTTTTACTCATGGTCAAAATTTAGTCTATTCACATGGGAAATTTTTCACACAGTAGTAAATTTATAGTTTACTAATGTCATCTACCCACCTTTTTGCCTATTCTTTGGATATTTGTCTTCCAGCGTTACTAGTTATGGTGTGTGTATTCATGGGAACAAACCTGCTGATATGTTAGCCAAACTAGCAGCTAACTTAGATCAGAGATTTGTATGGTAGGATAGTTTGAGTTTATTTCCAAAGTAACCTTCTTTAGAAGAAATATTTACAGTTGCTCTTTCACAAATTATTACCTTTTAATATCTCTTATGCCAGGTAAACTTCTATCTTAAATGTCCTGAGAGCTACAACCTCCTCCTTGTTTTGAGGGATAATTTCACAAACCTCCTCTAAGATTTATGACATTTACATTTAGCTCCCTTCACCTCTAAAAAATTATGCATACCTTTCCTGAATAGTAGTTGTGAGTTTTATTTGGCTGATGTAAGGGAAAAAATCATACTAATAACTCGAATTTTGCTTAAGGAGTTTTTATAGTATTTAAATCAAATTATTCAATGAATACATTCTTGTTTTTCTCCTAGTCTTAAATAGTTTCACCTTAGGCCTAAATCATTTTCTCTATATTCCTTTGGCCAAAGTTACAACTGTATATTTGTGTTTGCAACTGTTTATTAAACTTTGGTCAGAGAAAAAATGAGGACAAACCGAAAGAATGAGAGATGAATCAATTAAAAAGCACGATTAACACTGAAATTTTTGAGACATGGAGATTTGGATTATGGAAAGGATAAGAAAACTTGAATAGGGGAAAAAAGGTGGATTGAAGCTGTAGGAAAGAAATAGCATGGGGTGATACAGTATTGGGTGATGGGCAGATTCTTAGTGATACATTTTTCAAGTTTGACAAGCATTTCATTACTTTTTCCCTTTTTCAAAAAATTGTCACTAGAATATTTTATAAAGTTTGGGAAGATTATTATATCTTAATAAAGCGTGGTAAGTATAATATTTGAATGTAAAGGTGTGCAACATGAAATTATCAGAAATCTTGGAAGGGGTTTCGTAATTATACTTTGTTGTAATACTATTCACCTTTTTCTACCTCGTGATTATTGGTTTTAACATTCGCATTCGAAATGCAAATGCAAAAAGCAAAATTTGAGGATGAAAAATAAAAAAAAACCAAGGCAATAAACATAGGAAAAGACTCTATATTTGATTATTACTAAAATATTATAAAATGATTATAGTACTTCTTTTTCATTTTTTATTAGTAACACTTTTTCTTAAAAAAAAATTAGTGGGGGGGGGGGAATGGTATGATTTAAAAAGTTAAGAGGGGACAGGGAGATCAAAATTTAGGATCCCAAAGTCTTTGGAGTAACATGATAATATTATTTCTGAAAACCCAATATCGAATCCTATTGGTTTTGATATAAAGGAACTTGGATGATTGAAAAGCTTAAAATATAAAATATTTGTTAACTATAATATCTTATCATTAATCAAATGTGGAATCTTATGTTTGTTACCTATTTTTGCTTTGGATTTGGTATTTTGGTGTTTGAACTTTGAGTATGAACTGAGTAAGATTACTACAATTCATTTAAGTGTGGTCTTCCTCCATTTAAATGGGAGCTTACATGGCATAAAAAAAAGATTAAACCTACTGGAAAAATTTTTTCCAAAGAAGGTTACTTCAGAAATAAACTCCGGACAATTTTCTGTCCTTTTCGGTTAACGCTGTATCTGCTGATTTAAATGAATGAAGTATTGATCTTTTTCCTAAAAAAAAAAAAGTGTGTGCATTCATGAGGTAAAAGACAGTAACAAGAATAACCATGTACCATAGGATAACAATTATGGTAACTCATACCTCAAAACCGTTAGCCACTGGCCATTTGGTCCAGTGGTCATCACTATTAAAGGTGATGCTGGAGGTCAGGGGTTCAATCCCTGCCTCCCACAAATTTGTCACAATATAACTCAAAACCGTTGACCGGGAGCTCTGAATGCCGCCAACCGATATCACTCGAAAATGCAAATCATGTTGGGCTGAATATACGGTCTACCATCAGCATAAACAAATACGCCATCCATATAGTATGAGTACCTAGGACAATCGTTGAGTGGCACAAGTGCTAAGGCCATCGCACCTAGACCAAATTCCCCAGCATCCATGAACGACTTGAAGTACCAATTTTGACAGTAGTCCATATATGGCACAAATAGTTCTGAAGCAAATCCCTTGTACATCACTCCTGAATTCACCAGTCTCAGAATCTGGAATCATGGCTTTAGAGATCACCATCCCAGCTCGCGGGTCTGCCTTAAGGTGGAAAATCCAATTGGCCCATCTGACAATGTGTCCATCCTCAACGGTAAAGCTTGGCCCTTGAGGCTGTTCTATTGAAATTGGATTGACTGGCTGCATTTTTTAAGGCTTGTTTTGTGCCTGATGCCGATAATCAGTGTTCTCAGCTTTAGGCACTGGAATTCCCCGGCCTGAATCCAAGACTTTAAAAATTTTTCGGTTGTCAATGTCCACAATTACGACCAACCCTTCAACTGGCCTCATGTAGAAATTGGGCGTGCCCTGGTTAACAAAGCATTCAACCTTCGCGATACGCCTCCCTTCTTCTTCAGGGCCAAACCATCCAGGGGAAGGTGGGACGCAAGTAAGATCCGGAAACTTCAATCCTCGAGCCATGATGGACTTGTTGAACTCTTCACTAGTTGATGTAATTTGCCTTTATGTCGTCCATGGATAGCATTGCATACCCTGATCCTGGATTTTTTACATGACTTGTGATTTGGCCCAAGTTTAAGTCCACAATGAGTAAATGAACTTCACCATTCAATATTGCAGTTGCAGAAGCTTTCCTTGGTGGGAGGGAATCGCCTTATCTCCATTCCAAGACTTGGGCTTTTCAGGTTCGTCAAGGGATAGAGAATGAACCGATGGAAAGAATGATGTAAATGGTTCATAGGATGAGAGGATGTCTCGGACCCCGTTGAGTGGGTGTGAAGGAGTGTCAGCAGCCAAGTGGTTGGGTTTGGGAATTGGAGTCTCCAGGACTGAGCTCAACTTTGCTTTCCTATTACTAGAATTGCACCAATATGTGACCTTGGAGCATCCTAGGAATCCTGAACTGATTGTTTTGTACCATGAAGTTGCAGATATGAAGGAGAGAACGATGAGGATAATGGAGAAACGGAAACAGGATGGAGGTTCCATTTCTGTCTTTCTTTCTCTGGTTAAAGAAGAGAGTCTAATGAGTTTATATGAGAAGTCAATCCTTCCATAAATGAAAATGGCCCTTTATTCTGTTTTGGAACGAACAACAAACAGACGATGCTTATTACACAAAATGTCCGCAGCAATAACATCTCACCCAACGGAGGAGATGAAATGGACTGTTTGTAACAGGTAATAAAAATAATATAAACAGATAACATCCTATTACGTAATTCCTAAAAAGAATATGGAGCAAGAGAGAGCGACAAATAGGGTATTATAACAGGTCAAGTGGACCAATGCCTTCTGCTTCATAACCAAGGCTGTTTAAAGGATTTAGTTGGACGAGGTCTACAACAACTTAAGCTTCAGTTTTGCCAAATTTCAAATAGCTTGTGGCTCCTCAATTACTCTCCTGAGTATAAAAACTCAGCAAGTTTGTGCAAATAGGAGGGTGATGGCTAAGAATTTTATTGAAGAATTAGTTCAGATATCTTGATGATAAGATCACTAGTGTATTATTGTTCATACCTCCTAGAGTCTAGAATATTGCCAACTAGCTTTCTTCAAGCATCTTGTAATCATTCACAAAAAATGGATATTTTTATTCCACTTGTTTGCTCGCAGCATAATTCTTTCTTGGCTTCGTCGTAGCAAAAAACTTGTAGTAATAATTAAGGAGACGACATACTTTATTTCTGCATTTGAAACTCCTTTGCGCAAGCATGACAAGGCATCTGTCAATTAGAAAGTAATTGATTTTTCGAATTTCAAGGAGCAAAAATCAATTGTTTGTGGCTTTTTTTTTTTTTTACAATTTGTTTGTGTCGAATCATTTCACAAGTACTAAAACCTGTAGTTTTAGTTAGATATAATGAACCTTTTATTCCCTTGAATATTTCAACAACTTTTCTTAGTCAGGTTACTAAACGTGTCAAAGATGGTATATTAAGCATTAAATGCACGAATTTACTAATAAAATGAAAAAAAAAAAAGAAGAGAAAAGCTCTAAATTATGCACAATCACTGCCCACCGGAAAGAAAACTTCAGAACGTTTCTTCTGCTTTTTATTTGAAGAAATGCATCTTCTCAAATTATTATCAACAAAAAATTCATCTCAAATTCTGGATAGCGGTGGAAGCTGTCTATTTTTTCTTTCTTCTTGAAACGGATCCATGAAATGAGCAGAATTTCCTCAAGCCTGAGGCAAGATATATATATGACCATCCTAAATATCTTTGACTATCTCTTATGTTTGAACTTGTATACAAGTGATAGATGGACTATGTCAAATTTTCTTGACAACATCAAAGTATAACATCATAAATTCGAAACAAAACTGACGACACAAAAAATTACCTCAGCAAAGATCGCAAATGTGGCTGACAAAATCAAACATTACATCATTATCGATGGAGGTGGACCTAGCCAAAGGAATGTATTTTGATTAGCAAGATGGTGTGTGTTTGTCTACAATGGAGCATAATAGATAATTAAAACCCATTTATGATTTACGGTATTTTTTGCTAAAAAAAAAAGAAATTTTAGGTGACATAATCAACTTTAAGTATTTCTAAGCATCATTTCATAAATTTAGTAAAAATTTTAATTACGACATATAATTCTTTTGTTTTCCTTTCAGGTTCCTAGGTTTTGTTGTATGAGTATTTGACAGTGGCACATGCACCAAGCTCCCGAGCATGGGTGCATGTATAATGTATTAATGTAGTATTTATGTATTTGTAAAGCCCACAAATGCAATCATACTATTTTTTTCCCCTTTTCTTCTTCCTTTAAGAAAAAATGCACTCGTACCATAAACATCAATTAACAAAATAGTTTCTTTTACGAGAAACATTTACACATTCTTGAGGACATGTACCATTATTATTTCACGAACATATCAGTACTTGCTCAAGGCAATCTTTTTTTTTTTTTTACACGATAAATGCTATATACATCTACTCATACTCTACACTGAGAGAAAAGGAAGGGATGGAGCCAAGGAAATCAATGGGGAATCAGAAGGGATTGAACATCCACTGGACTGGATGGATATACGAACCTTCACCGAATCAAACGGATTTCTTTGTATCTCCTGTAAAATTTTCAGAAAATTCTGAATTAGAATGTAAGTCAAGGGATTCGACCCCTTGATCTACACTTAATAAGAGCCTTAAAGCTCTCAGTGATGACCAACTAGTACTTGCTCAAGGCAATCGCTAGCAAGTTTTAATAATGATTCACTCCGGTGTTTCTTCTCTTCATGTACCTATCACTTTGCATCTTGATTCGGTTGATTTTATGGCTCGGAAACTTGTATAGTGCCAATGAAAGTTCCACCCATGTCCAATAATTGTTTCACTGATTTGATCTGTTCAAAAAAGAAAAGAATATCATATGCAAAGTAAGATTTACGGCTCATGGGAAAATTTATAGAAAGCAATAAAAGCAGAAACGAAGTTTATGGAGCCAATCTTCTTTAAAATCCTGCATTATTACAGCCTTATGCAGCTTTGCCCTTAATCGGCAAGAGAAATGAAGAGTGATATATACATGCGTAAGTGTAACATCGCTTGTCAATTCTCTCAAGAAAACCAAAAGTAGTAGTACTAGTGTAAATTGCAAAAATTGCCGATAAATAGAAAATGAAGAGTGAGCCTTCTCGATAGGATTTTCGATGAAAATCATCCATTCCACTTGGTTTTAATCGTTAGCAAGCAAGTCTCTTTTACGAAATGAAATGTTCCAAAAAGAAAAAGAAAATCTACCCCAGAAACTTTCATATTGGTTATTTTCCTTTTTAGATTATGGAAAAGCAGTTTTGGTTCAAAAATTTGATTGTGTGTATAATTGGAGGAGGTACAGGATTACGAAGTAATGCAGATGCATTGCACTGCGGGACTTGTCAACGACTGCGTGGTGGCTAATTTAATGCATTGCATTGGTTGTTATGATAATGACCAAATTATACACTTCGTCGATTGCAGTAAACGCGACAAAAATATGCATACCAATGACAGCACGACTGCCAGTATTGATTGATTTATGACACTATGGACAGCCCTATCCAAAGTATCCCATCATCACACTCACAAAAACTCCGTACATTACATTGAATTGGAATGCAATTGCTCCCAAACACAACTAATGCAGCTGACCTTGCTGGGAATGTGATTTTATGTACGAAAATTTTACCTTTTTTTAAACATATTTTTTAATCAATTTTTTTATATATATCAAATCATTATAATATATTTTTTTTAATAAAATTTCTTAAAAATACAATTCAAGTGAATTATAAATAATTAGCTCAATTTCATATTGGTTACTAATTTTTTTTTGTTACATATTCAGTGTAAAAAATTCTTTACATTATAATCATAACTCAGTGACTTTTGTTGCATGTAAAATTATCTTCGAGCTTGTAATTAATATTACAAAATCTTAAACTTGTTGGTGTTCATAATTATTCACACTACAATACGGACGGATAAGAGCCCAATCCATCTAATAAAATTTCTTTTTTCATCACAAAGGAAAGGAAAAAAAAAAAGACAATCCATGTATTTTTGGTTAGAAAAGAAAGAGTCAAATCCATCTATTTTTGGTTACTTGAGGTGAAGACCGAAAAGTCCACAAAAATTAGGATTCGTAATTCATTGTACGATTACCTTTTTACTATATTAGATGTCATTCATTGTACAATTACCTTTTTACTATATTGGATGTACATTTTATGTTAGAGATGTATACTTGGTATACTCGTAACTTGTGCCTTAAAAAAAAAAGAAAAAAATGGATGTATACTTGTACATAAAATTGGACGAGATGTCTTGCCTTTTCTTGAAGTTTGGAAAAGATTAAAGTAGCCTCGCTTTGTTGCTTTTCCACCAGCCTCTCCAACTCCAACCCAGTCATCGCAGCCCCCCACTATCCTCCTGTATCTCTTCTTCCCCCCTCCAGGCCTTCACCAGAAGATGATGCATTGAATCATCTGCAATCCCAAAATTTACCCCAAATATCTGTTAAAAAAACTAGCTTTTTCATCAGTTTAGCCCAAAAAAAAATTTTTATTTGTGTTTTTTTTTGGGAAGTGGTTTAAGTGAAGAAATACAGATGACCCAATTGAAGCCGATTCTGTCCCACCTTGATGCCATACCCTCTACGCCGGGGAAGTGCAAACTGGACAAAACGTCGCCGTATCACTCCACTTTTCATCGTTTAAGGCTTCATTCTGCACTTCTCCCAAGGCGCACTCTTTGGTCATTTATTTTCCTCTTCCTTATTCTGCTGTTCCTTTTCTTGTCTCCGCCGTCTGCCACTAGCAGCGCCTCGAACGCCTCTGTCAATGGAGGCAAGCGCCGGAGTCTCCATACTGCTGCAGTGGTTGGACCCAGTCTCGGCCCGAACTGGGAGAATCGGGCATGGGCCTCGGCCCGTCCGGCTTCCAAGTCGGGCCTCTCCGTTCTAGTCACCGGTGCGGTTGGTTTCGTTGGAGCCCATGTCTCCCTTGCCCTCAAAAAGCGTGGAGACGGCATCGTTGGGTTGGACAACTTCAACTCTTACTATGAAACCGGGCTTAAGAAGGCCCGAAATTCCCTCCTAGAAAAGTCGGGAATTTTTGTTGTTGAAGGTGACATAAACGACGCCGCATTGCTTCGGAAACTCTTCGAGACGGTGAAATTTACGCACGTGATGCATTTGGCCGCTCAAGCCGGGGTACGGTATGCTATGAAAAATCCCATGTCCTATATTCATAGTAACGTGGATGGTTTTGTGAATTTACTAGAAATATGTAAAGCTGCAAATCCACAGCCTGCTGTTGTTTGGGCTTCGTCTAGTTCTGTTTATGGATTAAATTCTAAGGTACCCTTTTCGGAAAAAGATCGAACTGACCAGCCAGCAAGTTTGTATGCAGCCACAAAAAAGGCTGGTGAAGAAATAGCACATACATATAATCATATTTATGGACTTTCGTTAACCGGGTTAAGGTTTTTTACGGTTTATGGACCGTGGGGTAGGCCTGATATGGCGTATTATTTCTTTACCAAGGATATATTGAGAGGAAAAGAGATTAAAATCTATGAGGGGGTTGATCATGGGACTGTAGCAAGGGATTTTACTTACATTGATGATGTGGTGAAGGGTTGTTTGGCTGCGTTGGATACGGCAAAAAAGAGTACCGGGAGTGGGGGGAAGAAAAGAGGAGCTGCACAGTTTAGGATATATAATTTGGGGAATACGACCCCGGTGCCAATTGGGAGGCTTGTGAGTATATTGGAGAAGTTGTTGAGGGTGAAGGCCAAGAAGAAGGTGATTCAAATGCCAAGGAATGGAGATGTGCCTTTTACTCATGCCAACATTAGTTTGGCTCACAAGGAGCTTGGTTATAAGCCCACTACGGATTTGGAGGCCGGGTTGAAGAAGTTTGTGAAGTGGTATGTTGGTTATTATGGATCGAAGAAAAAAAGTGCTTGGTGATCTCTCAGAAACCAGTTCAGGTCATATGAGAGACGTGTTTTCTTCAAGTTTAGCTCACTAGAACTTGGATGATCGTGGCCCTTTGGAATAAGAATCGTTGCCCTTCGGAAGATCTTATTCAGTAACTGCATCGTGTTCGATTGTGAAGTTGCTAAATGGATGGAGCTGTTGATTGTCCTGCATTTGATGGCAAGGCATTCTTGATCTGTATCCGTAGAGCAGCATTGGCCTTCTTATTGTTTTACCATATTTATGTTTTTTGGTTATTCGATTTGTGGGTAGATATGTACAGTTCTTGACTGATGATATATGAGGATTTTATTTGTGCTGAGCACTCTTTTCACTATCTCGATGTGGTTTCAATAAGAAAAATATTTTCTTAATTAGACAGTTAATTGATATTTATTAAACTTTATTAGAAAACAATCGAATGTTCTACTAAACCATTTGAATGGAAAATTTTTAGCAAAAAATGCTTTTTCACTCCTTTATTTGATTGTCTGGATGAAGCTTCAGTTGTTGGGCAGTCAACTTGTTTAATTGGCCAGATTGGTACATGGATTTCTTCACTTTTCGAATTGGTGATATACAGTTGCACTGGTTTTTCTATATATCAGCTTTTTCATTTTATCATCATTTTCAAATACTCTAGTATAATTCTAGAGGATACCTTTATTTGTTGCTCATGAACTTTGGGATTCTCACAGTGATATTTTATGTGTGCTTCCCTTGTATGACCATTAATCTTGTTCAGGTTTAACCGTGCATCCTTTGTACTTGCGTATCTCTGACAAACAGTTGTTGAAACTGGATTGATGGAGATAGACTATGAAGCTGTTCTTGATAACTAGCAAGTTTGCTTGATTAGAAACACTTAACAGCCTGCTATTTTGGCATGATGCTCAAAGGTTGTAATTTGGGAAACTTTTGAGATGCTGTATACTTTGGGTGTCGACATTTGAGTGAAGGGACTGATTGTAGCATTGCTGCTGTTCTATTCATATCCATTTCCGCCACCTAAAATTTGTCTGCAGGTATTTCGTCTGTTAACCTCATTGGGACCAAATATGAAGCTTCTTTTAACAGCTGTCTGATGATAAGCAGCCAGTCTTGAACTCTCAAAGCGTAGCCCCGATTTTGACTTTATGTTGGCGTGGCATACCAGAATTGTCAAATGAAAGATCATCCTGTGCACATGCATAAATTTCTTCCCTATTAATGCTTTAGCCATTCTCATCTCACCAATTCTGGCTAATCGCAGGTGAAGTCGTATACTGATTTTCGTTTTCTTTCTAGATGCAATTTGGCACAAGACAGAGCACTTGTTTAGATGGCTGATGACCTCTTCCTCATCGAGGACTTGCTAGATACTCTTTCTGCCTGGTATGGATGTCCAGGTGTCTGTGTTTCACAGCCTAACAGGCCAGCAGTCTATTTCGAGTATAGGAATTGAGTTATCTTCTTTTTCGCTGGTCAAATTTGTCAATTGCACACGTAATGAAACCAGGCGTTGTCATTTTCCTTGGAGGAGGTTCCTCTTCTTTTCGCCCCCTGATCAGATGATGTTGGATGGTAGGAATGGCCTTGCCTCTTTTTGTCTATTAAGTGAACCTTAGGTCCCATCCCATCTTGAGTCGATCAATAATAATGTAGAGGATTTGCAACCTTGAATCTTCTTAGGGGCTTAAATCAATTCATTGCCGTGAATAACTAACTAGGAGTCCTCATTATTAATTTGTCCCACAGGAGTTTTGTTTTGTCACGATTGACGCTCAGACTGGCATTCTGCATTGCCCTCTTCAAGAAAAACTCTCTATTGGTGGAGTATTAATTATTACGTAAGATGTGAAAGGCCAAATGTCTAAAGTGAGAGGACATGTAAAAACGGAATTTGTCACCTAAAATGTTGAAAAGAATAGGAAGATGATTGCTTGTTTCTTGCAAAGATCACTTCCCAGTTTTGAAACAATCAGGTGCTCACATTTTATCACGACCAAATAACATCCCAGTTTGAAACAATCAAGGTCCTCTCAAGAAAAAAAAACAGGACCACTATGGAAGTGGAACATTTTTCTGTCACGTCCTAGTGTACTTTCTTTTTCTTTTCTTTATTGTTCCTTTTTTATGCTTTTGAGCAAATTGTCGCATTTTTTCCAACAACACCTTTGTTATCGGGGTACCAATTTTTGAAGCTCAAGAATCTTAACAACAAAGGCTTCGGCTAAGAATGACCCTTATGAGTTTATTCGGCTCTCACAGAATCTTCTCATTAAAAGCAAGCATGAAATTCATTAGCGCCCTCTATTACGCGCTAAAATTTGGAAACAGAAAAGAAAGTCATTTATTTTTTTCTGCGAAAAATTAGGCTACCTTTCAAGTTTCAACGTTCGTATCTTGCCTAAGCAATCTTTTCATTTCCCATTTTGTAGCAAGCTCTTTCCCCAGCTGAGTCAAATTTAAAATCTCATTGGTTTAGCAGAAAAGGCACGTCTTTCCCTCACAAGGAATATTGGGGCTAATTCCTTTGTTTATTGCTGGGAAAAAAAAATCGCACAATTATTGCTCTAACATAGTTGTTTTCTTGAACTATGGCTGCCGTGCCACATAAACATGGCACTGGGCTGGCTGCTGGGCTAAATCAATTCATTCTAAAATGCAGGCTGCCGGGCCGAACAGGAAAGTTTTAGGTTAGCAAACAAGCAAGACCCAGAAAGAATGAAAAAAAAAAAAAAAAGCAAGTCCTCAAAACAACTGGCTAATATAAGTGCAGAAGCACAGATGATACCAACGAGGCCAGAACGCCTGTCACTGCAACTAACTTCAAGCATTTGCTCCTTGCTTTTCTGAACCAGCTATATTAGAAGTTAATTAGACAGCAACCAAATGCTTCTGCAGTATCAGTATGCCACACCTACCAAATTAGTTGCTAAACTAATCATGCTCATCAAAGTTCCACAAACTACCATGCTGGGCTACTGCTTCAGTCGGACAAACTTTTAAGCATTAGCTCCAGCTGCTCTTCCACTAATCAAATGTCCCAGCTCATTGTGGACTAGAAAATAATGGACCATGCTTCCATGGCAATTCTTCCTTTCTGCTCCCACGAGAAAAGATCAGGATTACTACACCTGAACCACCTTAGTAGGAAGTACATTTAAGAGGCAAAGCAATCACATCATTGATTGGTGGACTACCAGCCCACCACTCATACTTCATATGGAGCAACTCTCATTTGCAATACAGCCATCTTCCACAACATTGTCATAATTCCTACCTCTAAAATATCCAATGATATCCAGCGATCTGACATGGCAAACAAGTATCATCCAGTCATACTATCAGATTGAGAAGTCCTCAAGAGTCTGTAAATTAACCCAATCATCTTTCCATTCCACTATGGATCACAAGAACTTCAATGGACTTGCTTAGGTCTCAAAATTGGGGAATATAAGAGTTCAGTAACCTTAATGTGATTCATGGTGTAGAGTTCTGCATTTTGTAGTCTTAAAATGAATAATGAGAGCCATGTGTGTCCAAGTCATCAAGTCCTGCGGCAGGATCTCAACGTCTTAAAATGTTCATCCTCCTTGCAGTAGATGAAGCAGAAAGCAACCGCCGTCAAATTTTCCTGTAAGTCAGGGCACCTATTCCTTTCAGATGATGGGAAACAGACAATGTTTAACAATTTTCTTCTTCTTCTTTTTCTCGAAGGAAATTGAGAAGCTAAGAGTACTCATTATGGTCTACCACAGAGCAACTTATGATCGACAAATCATTACTTCCTTGAGTGCGAGAAGCTGTTCATAGTTACAGTATCAGGTTCCAGCTTCCACCATGGAGCAGCATCTTCTTGCTGCACATTACCATCTTCATTCCCTGAAAAAACATCTTCCACATCAGAACCCTCACTCAGAACATCTGAATAACACAATTCTCTCTCTGTTTCAGGGTCATATGTCCATTCTAATCCTTTCAAAACATCTCGGTCCTTCCACCGCTCAACAACTGATACAGCTTCTTTCTTAGCTTTTCCCATCAATATCTCCTGCCAAGAAAATGAAGCATCAGCAGTCCTTTTAAGAGCCCCATCATTTACGTCACCCACAACAACAGTCCTCAAACACCTCTCCCTTGCCTCCTTCAAAATCCTCACAAAGTCTGAATCATCCGATACAAGAACCACACAATCAATCAATCTCTTATCCATCATGTCCACTATATGATTCCTCAATGCAACATCTGCCGCTTGTGGTTTATCCAAAACAGCCCTGACCCAAAATCCCGCCCTTTTCAACTCATCTGCCAGACCATAACCAACCTTCGGAGTCAAAATTTCCCTAGCTGCATTCCTATACTTATCCATCTTCATAGAATACTTAGCAACCAAATTCACCCTCCTCTTTCCCCTAGCAGACTCTATCTGATTCAAGCGTTTCCTCTGTTCGCTCTCATGAATTTGCCTAAAATGATTAATAAGCTTCTCATTAGTATAAAATTTCCTGCCACATACTCTACAAAGATAAGGCACATTTGGCTTAGCAACCCCTTTTCTTTCCAACTGATTCAGAGCTTTCCTCTCTTTCCTCTGTGCCAGCATCTCTGGTGGCACGTAGCTAAAAGCATGCCTATTAGCATAAGCTATCAAATACCTAACAAATCCAAATTCAAGCATTGCTTTTCTAAGCCTAATAGCAGCATCATAAGGGGGACATGATTTTGGTGGCTTATTATCCAAATCCCAGAAAATCCCAACATTCTTCTGAGCAACCCTTTTCACTAACCCGAATGATTCACCAGAAAAATCAGAACCCGCACTGGAATTTGCATAAAAATGACAATTTCTATACAATACTAGACATGGGCTTAGGTTTTTAAGCCCTCTGCTGGACTCTATTGCAGTGTACAAGTTGCGAACTTCGATTAATTTCAGCGAAAACATTAGCAGTTCGGTGATCTGTTTTAGCAATTTTGTAATGTTTCAACTATCAAAGTAGTACCTTCATAGACAACGACATGATCTGTTTGTAGTGTACATCTGCAGTTCCAGTTATTCCAGGAAGACAAATAAGAGGGGGCACCACTTTTGGGCCAAAGTCATAATATCGCCAATGCTTTAAGCCAATTCTACAACAGACACAAAATTTTCATTAAATTTGCATGAAGTCTAACCATGTGCAACTAGTTTTCACCGTTCAATTAAGTGGTCCATAAATTGGATTCGAAAGAGGCTAAAGTTCGAAGCTTTAAGAGAAAAAAAGAGGGATAAAAAGAGAACTTACAGGGATCTTGTGAAGAGGGACCTGAGACTTGAAGTAGATATAATCACCGGGAGCTGAAAACACGCCT